CGTTAACCTGGATGGTTTGCTTTCCCAGTGCCAATGTTTTAGTTCCTCAACCAGACCAAAATCTACAATAGCCCCTAAGACACACAAGGTTTAAGGAAATTTAGTAGTACATCATTTAAGATTAGAAAAAGCACAGATTAACAGTTTCAGCCGCCCCTGGTGGTAACACCAGTACAGAAACAGGCTATGCCACAGCAAGTTTACTTCTCTGAAAGACTCCCTGCTCAACCAAAGATGACAAGGTAACATTTTTTAATGTCATCCTTACCACTCACTAACGCCATAGTTCTACATGTTCCTGACTAGTTGCTCTCTTAAAGCCACTGGTAAATGCCACCATAGGCACACCCAAAAACAAAAGTAAACGAAGCCATAATAATAACTTACCAGAGTGTAATGTCAACTGCAGGTACACATAGACAAATCAAAACCCCAACAGGAACACTTCCCCCTAACTGCCTAGTTAAAACTTACTAACACTCATGTTGAGAATTATTTTAGAACATTACAGCCTAAATTGGTATCATTAATTACTAGAGTGAAGGTGGTCTGCATTGGCATCATTTAAAGCAGGGGTATTCAATTAGATTTCAAAGAGGTCTAGTTAGAGAAAATTTCCTGAAGCAAAGGTCCGGAACATCAAAATGACGAACTTGCGTTATCATTCAGTACTATAACCTATAGTTGTATCAACACATGTTTTTAGTCAACAACGGACTGTCAAATCAAATAATATTTCAGTCAGTTTTCACATCAAACTGGAGGGATAATAAATAATAACTATTCAAATAATAAATTCTAAATTTAAGTAAACTAAAGTGCCTAATTTTTAGAAAAAATGTAATAAAAAGTGTAGCCTGAAGTGATGAAGTGTAGTCTTAACCAATTTTATAATAAACACTCAACACATCATAACAAATGAACAGCTGTAATGCCTCCTCTTCTCTTTCATTTCCTCTTACAGAGCTACCACTTTCCTACTTTCTGTAATTCAGTGACAAATGTGAGCTCCAGCTAGCATATTGGAGATCTATGAGATATTCTGGTTTTGAACTGCCCGTGGGAGGAATGTACATGTAAATATCTGTACATTCTTGATTAAAAGTCATGTGAAATCTCTTTTATCTTTCGCGTGTGTTTCCAAAACGTCTCTGGTGAATCTGGCGGACTCGACTCGCAAGCATCGGTATGCACAGATTTGATTGGCTGAGCAGCGTCACATGAGACGATTGGAGCACATGCGATTGGTCTGTGAGTTTCCTGGTCCTCTAAACCAGTACAGTAAATGCTAGAAAAGCTGCGCGGGTTAAAATAGAAACGCTCCGTCACGAGGTAGTAAGTCTCAATAATAAATGGGCTGTAGGTCGGCGGTCCGGAGAGGATGGCGGCTGGGTCCGGATCCGGACCGCGGTCCGCCTATTAGTGACCTCTGATTTAAAGTATTATTTTATAGTGTAAAGTTAAGATCACAATGCTGAAACTCTATAGCTCTGAGAGTGTGTGGTCGTGTGGCAGTAACAGTAGCACATTTGTGTGTAAGCAGATGTAAGCAGGCATGTGTGCTCTGGGAGCAGAATGAGACAGCAAGGCATCATCAAAAACACCAGAAAAGGAAAATGTAGAAGCAGAATTAGTGAAAATTGTGTTACAAAACATACATCAATACAGTAAGAATGTCCTGTCTATAGCACACAGCACAAGAGACACAAGCTTATTCCACAAAGTCAGGTTTTTGGTTAAAATAGCATGATCAGCAGAGAGCATGCTTAGGACACAGAGAGGGGGAGCAGTGCAGACAAAAAGTTAGACATCAGTCAAGAAACAGTCATCAGCGATTATCCTTAATCGATATTAATAATCATTGTTAATCATTTTAATCAGTTTTATTATCTTTAATCAGTAACTTTAAGTAATAATTCTTATATCATTTTTAATCATTTTACTAGTATTAATCATTAATCATTCTTAATCATTTTCTTTTCACATAGATGTGCTTTGGTTTTTACTTATAAGTAGGGAACTGTACAGGTGCTGGTCATAATTAGAATATCATCAAAAAGTTGATTTATTTCAGTAATTCCATTCAAAAAGTGAAACTTGTATAATGTATACATTCATTCCAAACAGACTGATATATTTCAAGTGTTCATTCCTTTTAATTCTGATGATTATAACAGACAACTAATGAAAACCCCAAAATCAGAATCTCAGAAAATTTAAATATTGTGAAAAGGTTCAATATTGAAGACACCTGGTGCCACCCTCTAATCAGCTAATTAACTCAAAACACCTGCAAAGGCCTTTAAATGGTCTCTCAGTCTAGTTCTGTAGGCTACACAATCATGGGGAAGACTGCTGACTTGACAACTGTCCAAAAGACGACCATTGACACCTTGCACAAGGAGGGCAAGACACAAAAGGTCATTGCTAAAGAGGCTGGCTGTTCACAGAGCTCTGTGTCCAAGCACATTAATAGAGAGGCGAAGGGAAGGAAAAGATGTCGTAGGAAAAAAGTATACAAGCAATAGGGATAACCGCACCCTGGAGAGGATTGTGAAACAAAACCCATTCAAAAATGTGGGGGAGATTCACAAAGAGTGGACTGCAGCTGGAGTCAGTGCTTCAAGAACCACCACGCACAGACGTATGCAAGACATGGGTTTCAGCTGTCGCATTCCTTGTGTTAAGCCACTCTTGAACAAGACACAGCGTCAGAAGCGTCTCGCCTGGGCTAAAGACAAAAAGGACTGGACTGCTGCTGAGTGGTCCAAAGTTATCTTCTCTTTCTGATGAAAGTAAATTTTGCATTTCCTTTGGAAATCAAGGTCCCAGAGTCTGGAGGAAGAGAGGAGAGGCACAGAATCCACGTTGCTTGAAGTCCAGTGTAAAGTTTCCACAGTCAGTGATGGTTTGGGGTGCCATGTCATCTGCTGGTGTTGGTCCACTGTGTTTTCTGAGGTCCAAGGTCAACGCAGCCGTCTACCAGGAAGTTTTAGAGCACTTCATGCTTCCTGCTGCTGACCAACTTTATGGAGATCCAACAGGACTTGGCACCTGCACACAGTGCCAAAGCTACCAGTACCTGGTTTAAGGACCATGGTATCCCTGTTCTTAATTGGCCAGCAAACTGGCCTGACCTTAACCCTATAGAAAATCTATGGAGTATTGTGAAGAGGAAGATGCGATACGCCAGACCCAACAATGCAGAAGAGCTGAAGGCCACTATCAGAGCAACCTGGGCTCTCATAACACCTGAGCAGTGCCACAGACTGATGGACTCCATGCCACGCCACATTGCTGCAGTAATTCAGGCAAAAGGAGCCCCAACTAAGTATTGAGTGCTGTACATGCTCATACTTTTCATATTTATACTTTTCAGGTGGCCAACATTTCTAAAAATCCTTTTTTTGTATTGTTTTTAAGTAATAATCTAATTTTCGGAGATACTGAATTTGGGATTTTCATTAGTTGTCAGTTTTAATCATCACAATTAAATGAAATAAACAGTTGAAATCAGCCTGTGTGTAATGAATGAATAATATCCAAGTTTCACTTTTTGAATGCAATTATTCTGATGATATTCTAATATGGCCAGTACCTGTAGTCATGAAGAAACAAGCTCACTGTGGTTAGATCCTTGAGCGGGAGGAATGACTGCAGGAAGTGGCTGCAGATGTTTCGCCTTGTCCAACTGTCATCTACTGTAGATTATGACCACAGGAGAGGCTGCAAGTGTGCAAGATCTGCCGACACTGTGACAGTGCATGCTTCGTTCTGCTGTTATCTACTGTTGTGATTACATGAGGAACTGCTGATGTGTTAATCTGCTAATATTAAGGCTACATGCTTAATTACTGATTAAGGGGGTTTGATTGTCAACTTCCAACCTCTGGTTATTATAGCCATATGAGCTTTGAGTGAACTTGCTGAAGGAATTTATGCTTTGCAAAAACAGGACAGAGGATGACCAAAAAACCGACAGATGCTTGGCAAAAACACGACAGACAGATGATAAGCAGAAAGCAGTCAGCATAACATCAATGAATACTGTACGAAACCAAGCATTAATGAAAAATGCAACTTTACTAATGTTATTCTTATATTGTTTAAAAAATTCAATTGTGTCAAATTAAGCATGCGTAACCTTTAAAAAAACACAGTGAGACTGAAGTTGAAATGTAAATGATGAACTTCTTATCCAGTAGTATAAAGATGTAGAAATTCTACAATACAGTAATAAATGACAGCTGGGGAACAGAGGAAAAGAAGTTCATCATGAGGAAAGTAGGTGGCAAGCCAGCCCAGAAGAGATATATAGAGATAGCCATATATATATATATATGGCTATCTGCAGACCATAGGATGGACTTCATCCTCTGGCCTGCTGGGATGTTGTACGTGTTTATTTGGCCTGTTTTGGAATAAACTCTTTTGCACCAACTCTTGACCGTCTCCAGAGAGATTTTTGTCTGCAGAGTTATTGACTACCGTAGAAAGCTAATGGAGTATTTTTTGACAAAGTTTATTAAGTTGGTGAAGGTGGGGATCAGGCTTAACTGGCCCAGCCTGGTCGTACATCTGACCCAACACTCACCCATAGTCTTCATGCGGCTTGTGGTGGGTATTTATGCACCAGTGGATTTGCGCAGCTGCTTGTCCAAAAAGAGCTGATACTAACCACGTCACCACAACTGTATGAAAAGAATATTTATCCTCCCACGGCGTTTGGACCAGGTGCTCCCAATCTGGTTTACGGGCGCTGATGCCTTCAGGGACAAAAGGAGAATAGTAAACTGCCCAACACCACACAGTTAAACACCCAACTAGGCAGGGCCGTCACAGTCCCCAAATGTTCAGTGAACACAAATGACTGCTTCACTGTAATTGTTTTGCACATGTCGATAAATAATTTAAATCTTAAAAACAAACTTTTGTCCATATACTGTACCTTCCAGCTGACTCATGTCAGTAGTCCTGACCTAAGAAAGACAACAAACACATTCACAGTAACATTCTGCTTTTATTGGAACAAGAGCCAGAATTCAAAACAACACATGACAGAAGGTACAAGTCAACGGCATTTCAATGATCAGAGCTTCCATCTTTAAAGGACTGGAAGTGGAAGAAGTTTACAATGGAAATGAGGAATATTTTTATAAATTATACTTTGAATGACTTTGTACAAAGTTCATTGATGAATTTATTACAAGAACCTGAAAGATTTATGATCCTGTACAGACTTAACTGATCTATTCAGCAGTGAGACTGTTTCTCTAACTGGAGGAGACTTTCCTTTCTACAGAGAACACAAAGATACAGAGGAACCAGGCCACCAGAACCCAAACCCAGGGTAAAGAGGTTCAGTGAATGTGGTGTTGAAGGTGTGGAGGTGGATCAGTGTGTCAGGGGAGACTCTGTAGAAGGACAGAGTGCCAGCAGGAAAGTCCACATACACTGCTACTCTGTTAGAGACAGAGGTGGAGGAGGAGATGGATGTTCCTCTGTTATTGTACCAGATATAGTAACCATCATCAGAGCAGCTCAAACTCCAGGACTGATCATTCCTTCCAAACCAGCATTCTTTACTGTTTCCTTTCCTTCTGATTCTTCTGTAACTCATTGATATAGTAACTTTCCCTCTCCACTCGACCTCCCAGTAACAGCAACCAGTCAGACCATCTCTACACAGCAGCTGAGCCCAGCAGTCAAATCTGTCTGGATGATCAGGATATGACTGATCCTCCTCCACAAGTGTCGCCCTCCTGTTGTTGTCAGACAGTTGGATCTTTCCGTATACTGTGTTTGTGTCGAGTGCGAGTTCACTGGAATCTGATGGAGAGAACGAGACACAATACGGCTGCAGTTATTAATCTATCATCTGTTAATTGATTGTTCAATGATGACATCAGACATTAAAATTACTGATGTTACAGTCTGAAGATGGTTGAATGTGTGCTGCTTTATTTTCACGAATCAAATAAAAAGCACACTTACACTTCCTCAGACCTGGTGTCAACCATCGGACTCCAGCAGGCTCCACCCTGAAAGGAGGAGGGGGGTCAGAGCAGCACATCCTCTTTCAGCATGAAAAATTGCACATTACATTCCGCTCATACACAGTTTGGTTATTTTTTTTCAAATTCATTTTCTTTTATTTTCAACTAATATTATTTTAATATCATCTAAGATTTTTATTTGCCTATGCAGAATTTTCTGTCTCTACACACTTTCTCCCCACTGCCTCTCTTTTTTTTTTTATTTAACCAGGGGAAAAAAGCTACAAAAAAACTGATATAAAATCTCTTTTTCAAGGGCACCCTGGCCAAGAACGGGAGCAGGACAGCAAGACTGATAGTACAAATATGGACATTATATCCCTCTCATACACATATGCCCAATATGTACATCCGGCCTGCTTCACCCTGCGCCCCCTAAACCTCTTCACCACTGCCGCTTTCCTCATAACACAGAGTGACCAACAGGATCTTGGTGTGTGTGTGTGAAAAAGGAGGAAAACATCTGATAACACACAAACTTCTTTTTGGTCTCAGAAAATGTCTTTCTGTTGGAAACAGCTTCATTTCATGTGTTGGGATGTTTTGTGTTGAACAGATATCTGTGATGTCTGTTATAGCATTACATTACATTTACTCATTTAGCTGACGCTTTTATCCAAAGCGGATTACAATTGCTATGTATGTTAAATATGTCAGAGGTCTTGCACAGGGACACATTGGTGTCTCACAGTGGATTCAAACACGGGTCTCTCACACCAAACACATGTGTTTTATCCACTGCCCCATCACCACCCCTTATAGCAGTAATACTGTCAGGATCACTTCTGCTTTCACTTATCATATTTGATGGCATTAAAAGCAGAACTAATGACAGTTTGGTGAGAACTACTTTCAGATTCTGTTATGTCAAACATGATTCGATATGAGTCCAAATGTTAGTCCAGCAACATGTGCAAGCATCTGCATGCTGCCATAGCAACTGTCCATTTATCGTGTGATGGTCAAAGTGTTCTTACCAGAAATTTTCATAGATATTGCTGTAATCATTTAATCTGGCTTCATAGTGCCATTTCCTTATTGGGATACTAATATTATAAGCCTTAGTTATTCACTCTCACGCTCTCTCACCCGATTAATAATCATCAGACTGTGTCCTGACTGAACTAACAAAAGTAGCTTTAACGATTTTTTATTACATAAAAATCTTTAAATATCAAAGTCTCTGAAGATCCCAATAACTACAACATATACTTATTATTATAATATTAAATATTTCAACAAACAAGGTTTCTGCCTCTATCAGACTGACTGTAGCTTTAGCAGACATACCTCAAAGTGTCCAGTCTCCAGTGTGGATCCTCCAGTCGAGCAGACAGCAGCTTCACTCCTGAGTCTCCCGGGTGATTGTAGCTCAGGTCCAGCTCTCTCAGATGGGAGGGGTTGGAGCTCAGAGCTGAGGCCAGAGAAGCACAACCTCCCTCTGTGATCAGACAGCCTGACAACCTGCAAACACACAAAACACGACACATGGCAGATCATCTGATGGTCCTGCTGTGTCAGTCAGATACAAGAAGACACTCTCTAAATAAATAAAATATACTATGACTGAATCAGGGAGTTTACTCTAACCATGTCACTGTGATCTAAATGTTAAAGAATCCACATCCATGGTAGCAGTTCTATGAGGCTGTATTGAACACACTTGTGTTTTGACCTAAATGCTAACAACAGCATGCTAACATGATAACTGATAATGCTACAGTACCATGTTTAGCATATTACTGATATGAACAGTTTTCATTTTGTAATGTGTTGAAGCAGCAATCCAGCCATTCCGAACAGTCACTGGTGGGTTAATGACTAATCCTGACCTGAGAGTTTCGAGTATACAGTGTGGACTCTTCAGTCCACCATGCAGCAGCTTCACTCCTGAATCCTGCAGGTTGTTGTTACTCAGGTCCAGCTCCCTTAGACTAGAGGACTGGGAGCTAAGAACTGAGGACAGAGCTTCACAGCTTCTCTCTGAGAGGTTACAGCCACTAAGTCTGGAGAGAAAATAATGAACAAAACAACAAGTAACATTTGTGAATTGGTGTTAATTTGGTGACATGGTATACAGGAGGGCTGTTACTTTTAAATCAATTACTCTGAGTAAAGAGGTGGATTTTTAAATATTTGATTATATTACACCCCTAAGTGAAAATGTCCTAATTGGGCCCAATTATCCTTCCAGCGTAACCTAACATTATTGCTCTACACACAGTTTCTTTTACAAAATTTTGCCCAACAGCCATTTATCCATTTCCTTCATCAATTTCATTTTTGTAAACACGTTTGAAGCCCACACTTGAACTGGTAAATATCTCGATTTGATGTCATGTTTGGGCTTAGGGGTAGCACATCGGCTCTATTGCACCCCCTAATGTCTTCTCAGCCTTTACATGGCAAGGGATGCTCGAAACCACACAAAACTTGCCACGCACGTCAGAAGGGGTGTACGTTGTTGTCTGGTATGCTTGAGGGAAAATGGCTCAATAACACCCCCTATAAAATGTCAATGAAGCAGCCCCCACTGTGCATATTGAATTTTTAAATCCTCAAAAATTTAAATCGGTTTTGGTCTTAAAAATCCCGTATTGGTCAAGATCTACTCTTCTCAGCACGTTAAAATGCTTGCTGTCTTGATTTGAACATTTAGGAATCATGGCACTTACTTAATCATGACTGAATCAAGAGTAAACGGACAACCAGTAACTTCTTTTCTTTGGAGAGTTGAAAGATATAATATTTATTGCTGAATAAAGCTACTTACAGAGCTTTCTTGGAGGCTTTGACCACTGGCAGCAGCCTCAGAAGAGCCTCCTCTGAAGCAGAGTATTTCTTCAGGTCAAACACGTCCAGATCAGTTTCTGATGACAGTAAGATGAAGACCAGAGCTGACCACTGAGCAGGAGAGAGTTTATCTGTGGAGAGACTTTCTGAACTCAGGGACTTTTGGATCTGCTCCACTAGAGAACGATCCTTCAGTTCATTCAGACAGTGGAACAGATTGATGCTTCTCTCTGCAGAGGGAGTCTCTTCAATCTTCTTCTTGATGTACTCGACTGTTACCTGATTGGCTTTTGAGCCACTTCCTGTCTGTGTCAGCAGACCTTGTAGGAGAGTCTGATTGGTCTGCAGGGAAAGTCCCAGGAGGAAGCGGAGGAACAAGTCCAGGTGTCCATTTGGACTCTGTAAGGCCTGGTCCACAGCACTCTGGTAGAACTGTATCACTGCAGATTCATCTTTTCTTGTTTCAGACTTCTGTGAGGTTGGTTGTTCTTCTGCCAGCAGATTGACACCAGAGTTGATGAAGGTCAGATGGACATGAAGAGCAGCCAGAAACTCCTGAACGCTCAGATGGACGAAGCAGAACACCTTGTCCTGGTACAACCCTCTCTCCTCTTTAAAGATCTGTGTGAACACTCCTGAGTACACTGAGGCTGCTCTGATATTGATGCCACACTCTGTCAGGTCTGATTCATAGAAGATCAGGTTGCCGTTCAGCAGCTGCTCAAAAGCCAGTTTTCCCAGAGACTCAATCATCTTCCTGCTCTCTGGACTCCAGGGTGGATCTGACTCAGTTCCTCCATCATACTTGATGTTCTTCAGTTTGGACTGAAGCACCAGGAAGTGGATGTACATCTCAGTCAGGGTCTTGGGCAGCTCTCCTCCCTCTATGGTCTTCAACACCTCCTCCAGAACTGTAGCAGTGATCCAGCAGAAGACTGGGATGTGGCACATGATGTGGAGGCTTCGTGATGTCTTGATGTGGGAGATGGTTCTGCTGGCCTGCTTGTTTTCTCTGAATCTCTTCCTGAAGTACTCCTCCTTCTGTGAGTCAGTGAACCCTCTGATCTCGGTCACCATGTCAACACACTCAGGAGGGATCTGATTGGCTGCTGCAGGTCGTGTGGTTATCCAGAGGCGAGCAGAAGGAAGCAGGTTCCCTCTGATGAGGTTTGTCAGCAGCACATCCACTGAGGTGGACTCTGTGACATCAGTCAGGACTTCATTGTTGCCAAAGTCCAGAGGAAGTCGACACTCATCCAGACCGTCAAAGATGAAGACAACCTGGAACTCTTCAAAGCTGCAGATTCCTGCTTCTTTGGTTTCAGGAAAGAAGTGATGAAAAAGTTCCACCAAGCTGTACTTTTTCTCTTTCAGCACATTCAGCTCTCTGAAAGTGAATGGAAATGTGAACTGTATGTCCTGGTTGGCTTTGTCTTCAGCCCAGTCCAGAGTGAACTTCTGTGTTAAGACTGTTTTCCCAATGCCAGCCACTCCCTTTGTCATCACTGTTCTGATTGGTTCATCTCTTCCAAGTGAGCCTTTAAAGATGTCTTCTTGTCTGATGGTTGTTTCTGGTCTGTCTGGTTTCCTGGATGTTTCAATCTGTCTGACCTCATGTTCATCATTGACCTCTGCAGTCCCTCCCTCTGTGATGTAGAGCTCTGTGTAGATCTGGTTCAGAGGGGTTGAGGTTCCTGCTTTAGCAATCCCCTCAAACACACACTGGAACTTCTTCTTCAGGTTAGATTTTAGTTTATGTTGACAAACTGCAACAGAAGGTCCTAAATGAATATAAATAAAAATGATCAATTAAAATATAAAAAGACAATATTTCACAGTTTATGCATATGCATTTATAAACATATTTCCCTCCATCTGCTGAGCCATCAGTAAATGTCCCGTTCATCCAGCAGGTTAAATCTTTAGAGAAATCCTCTTACTGCTCTGCAGACGCTCAGCCAGCTCCTCCTGCTTCATTCTCCTCAGGAAGTGCTGTGTGATCTTCAGAAATGCTTCTCTGCTGCTCCTCCTCTGCTCTTCATCCTCACCCTCCAACACCTCCTCATCCTCCTTCTGACTCTCTGAGCATTCTGGGCAATCTGAACTCAGACCCTTCTGAATCTTCTTCAGCTCATTCTTCACAAAAGTGACAATGTTCTCCTCCAGCAGCTGGAACAGAATATTATATGAATGACACAGTCAAACTAAAATCATGCAACCAAACATCAGATCCATGTTGGACAGACTGACAATCCACTGGTCTAAAAAGTGCAGCGTGGAGATTATTGTGAACAGAATAGATGGAAAAGTAGTTGTTGTACATGTACAGACCATAAATATGGAGTCCAGGTGTGTTTGATGCTGCTGGGCAGACTGACCAATGGGAACCTCTGAGCTCTCCTGGTGGACTCTGTGGAGGAATCATGAAGAGTTAGCTCACATTATGTCTGTCCACATAGAGACAGACGCAAGATAAAGCCTTGGAGTTTAATTGCTGATTGCAAAATTGAATCAGATACTTTCCTCTGACATTAAAGCCTTAATGGTCCTATTGGCCTGTTCCCTGGTTACCGCCCTGGGAACAGGCCACAGGTAGACACAAGAGAAGAACAAAGAGGAACTTACTTTAAGACTAAAAGTTAAGACTAAAAAGACTAACTTGAATTGTGGAATTTCAGACTGCTGAAGCCTCATTTTATCCTCTGCTGCACTTTCCAATGTCACTCTACACAGAACCAGGACTGTGGACTCTATGGGCATGTCAGTGTTGTTTAGGGACAGACTGGAAAACATGTGGACCTGTCCTAATCTGTCCTAATCCTAATCTGGCTCTGACCTTCATCATCATTCTAGGAGAACATGGACATTAGAAGGACAACTGGTCAGACTGGATTTAATGAGGACAAACATCAGCAGGGAGCAACATGAGGAGGGAGACATGAACATTTAGCTCTGATTGGCCAACACTGTTTAATGCTGACTGATACTCACTGTCTGTCAGACACATGTCCTCTCTTAAAATCAATGATATCAACCATTGACTGGTCACTCTTGAAGGAGACACAGCTGGGCTCAGGTCCAGGTCCAGGTCCAGCAGAGTCTGGTCCCTGCTGCTGCTCTGGGCTTCAACACAACACACACAGAGCTTTGAGAGTGAATAATGATGGTGGAGTGATTTGAGTCCTGGACAGTTAGAGATCCTCATCTCACCTCTGAGCTTTGGTCTGGCTGTCATGTTCCCCACACAGAGTGCTTTTAGAGGGAGGGACTCCCTCCTCTCTGTCCTCACACTGACTCATGCTGCTCAACTCACATCCACTTTCACCTGGAGAGGAAACACAAATCATTCATCTGCACATCAACTCAAATCCTCCTTTCCATCATTCCTCCTGGAAAAAGATCAGCTGCTCCTCCACTGATTGGCTGCTAGTTTCTGTTTCATATCAGTGGCAGCTGAATGCAGTCAGACAGCAGCGTGAGGCAGAGGAAGCACATATACATACATATACACACATATATACACAAACACATACATACAGTATAACTGATCAATGAACAGTAATTTTCATATTGTCGGCTAGTCGCACTGATTGGAACATTCCTATTGTGGAGATAATGTGAGGATGACTGTGGGTCAGCTGAAATAAATAGGCTTAAACGTAGTTGTCATTATTACCTGCTGATAATCGGAATGTGTTTTGACAGCATTAATAAAATATGAAATTATCAAGATTTTATTAATGTAAAACAGACGGTTTGAACCCATAGACACATTTTCCACTGCCGAAAAAATAATTAATTGTCTAACCTGCTGGGTGTGACTGTGACTTTTACAATCACAGGTTCACCTAAACTGTGTATTATATTTTATCTATACCTGTTTTCATAATAGGTAGCCGATTGCCAACCGGCATTTAGTCCAGTCGGGTTAGGCTACATCTTAATAAATAGCCTATAGGGTTCCTATTTAAAATCAAATGTAATGGGCTGTAGCACTTTATACACTGTATAGTAATAATGTTAACGTATCGATCCTCCACTCCTGTGTTTTAGAGCCAATCATGTTGACACGTTGGCAGCATTCATATTTGTAGCTCCACCCTATTAAAATGGAGGCTCCGCCTTTATTTAGCCGTTGCCATGGTGAATCATAGTATCGGAGCTCCATTGATGAGGCTTTTTTTCATCCCCACGCACACGCGCTTCAGTCAGGCTCAACATACTCTGAGTTGATTGAACTTATTCTGATCGGCTGTTCTGGAACCAAAAATTCCAGAGTTTCCCACCTCAGGCTCAATTAACCCAGAGCTCAGGGATAAGCTCAGAGTTTGTTAAGCCTGCTTTCTGAAACAGCTCTCTGGTTACCTTGAGCGATCTTAAAAATACCACAACATATTTATCAAGGTGTTTTTCCTCGAGGCTTCGGCAATATTGACCCCTGCATTACAGCCCCCTACACACTATGACACGGGAATGCTTTTAAACAGTGACGATCTAACTCCGACAATACTGTGAAAACATGAATTTATTGCCAACACCCAGCCACAGGAAGAGTGGAAGTGGAAATATTCTGCCCACAACACAGCAGGCCTAAGGCATGGATTTATTTGGTCTGGGTATCTCTGGATAATCCGTAATTCGTTTGTAATTCTAAAACGAAATGCCGTTTATCTGTTTTTTGTTTCAAAACGAAAAATCAAATAACCATTTTTGGTGACAGAATCAAAAAAGGATCAAAACAAGTAAACTGCCCCACCCTTAGCAGAACCTAGCATTCACAAAAACATTCACAGGGCCAGTTCACTTGTAACAGAGTCTCATAAAAAGAATCCCCTTTTAAAAATCAGAACACAAAAATCAGTAGTTGATCAGGCAGCAAATCAGCAGTGGCTATACAACCCTCAACTAATGCAGTAAATCATCCACCAGCTCTGACTCCACCTCATTCAAGGAGCAGACGTTTAAGGCAACTCAGGGTATCAACCTCCACGGCTGCCTCTGTAGTGAACTCTAGCAGAACAGGCCGTGCAGTCTACAGGGTCTTGGCAACAGGTGGCTTAAAATGCCTGTAATAAAAACAAATTAAAAAGTGTTCACAAAAGTTAGATGGCATACCATCCAAAATCCTAACCTGCTCCCTGATCACACTGCAACATAAAGCATCAAGAGAGATCCTGAGTGCTCCCTGAACATCAACTCTTAATGAGGTGATTGTCTCCGGGTGTGTGCCGCTACTGGAGAGGCAGGGTGGAGCTTACCTGAGAGGGTGAAACTAGACTGTGGCATTACCAGGCCGAAAGCCATCACAACAAGAAAATGGATAACCACACAGGCTAACTAATTCACTGATATACAAGCTTAAATTTAAACAGCTAGCCTTGTTATCAAATTCGAACCATCGGTTAATATTTAGTTTTATCAGAGTTATTAAGCAGCTAGCTATCAACACACAAACACAGTAGTTTTTTTGTTTGTCTTTTTACTAAAGGGGACCGGGGCCAAACTCCTCTAAACAGATGAGGAAGTCTGAGCACATTGTTCAGTGTTCACCAGAACAGCCTTTACTGCCAGTTAACAATCTGAGGGGTCATCAGTCAGATGAACACCGAGCTTTATTTGGACATTAAACCATTAATTCAGAAGAAAAACCTTCTGGATATTCCCTCTGTCACATCAATGATGATATATATATATGATTCTAATGACATTTTCTCACATCTGATACAAATCAGCAGACTCAGAGCAGGACTGACTTCTCTTCCTCTTAACATATCAAATGTCCCACAAAACAAGCAACACGCAGCATTGAATCAAGCTGTCCACACACGTCCCCCACACTGTCTTAATGCTGCAGCATGTCTGCAAAGATAACCAGAACCACACTGACAGTGCTGTACATACTTTTGAAAACAAAATGCAACAAACACATAACCCACCAAATGATCAGGAACATTAACTCGATCCAGTTACCATCACATATTACACTCAGCCTCAAGGAAACAGATAGGATGACCAAGTAAACAGCAGATTTCCCCCCCAATACTCAAGTTTTTCCTTTAATGCCCACCAGGTTTCACACATAAGTATGCCTACATAACTGATGAGAACTACAGGCTGCATTAAAAATATTTAACTAACATAAGTATTTTACACTGGAGAAAAATGCTAAGAAAAATAAAAAGTTTATACCTCCACAGATTTGTTTTGGAAGAGTTTTGTTTTGACACATAACAGTAGATGAGAGTTTTTAGCAGCTATAGCAGCACAGAAAGAGAAGCTGGAAGGCAGGTGAAGTTCTGCACCCTTCAGACTCAGTGATCAGCTTCCTCTGGTCGCAGTGCAGCCTTCTCTTTGATAGAAACACAAGTCAAAAGGTCAAAACCTTGTTGCCTGTTGGCGCCACAGAAGGGGGCAGAGTGACCTCTGCTGGTTGAGCTCCCACACAGCAAGAAGGCCTGTAAATATGTAAGGAAACTAAAACATGAATTAAATAATATAAACTTAAATAAATAGGCTAACTGCTGTCCTAAAGCTACATATAACATTAGTTCACTTGTCTTAATCTGAAGTTACAGGTCACCAAAGGCCTTACAAATGTTAAAATCACCTTTCTAATTACACGTCACATGGGCTACTCTAACTAATCTGGGGATGGAGTCAGTCCGCAGCAGCTGCACACAACAACCGCAAGTGTAGACTATGGAAACCAGCTGGTTTGAAAAGCAGTAGGGCTCCAACACCTGCCGCATTTAGTGTCTCAGACAGCGTGCTCGTCTGCGCCTCCTGCACAGGTTGGTTCAGGCAGGAAAAGCTGCCTTCATACATCAGTAAGTGGAGCTTCGCAGTAAATAACAACTCCTGAGGATAAACTGAACTGACTCTTTTCTGCTCGTTTCCCTCAGGTTACATCCCACATATTCACAACATGGCAGAATAAGTTCGTCCCGTTACATTAGTTTGTTAATAAAAGTTAAGAGTTACTTTAACAACCTGTTTTACTGCAACAAGTTAACAGCAGTTAAAAACAAAACGAGCAAAGAGTCATTACAGATTAAAATAGTTAAACACGTCGGTTACATTACGTTTACACGGAGAAAAGAAGCTGCGCAACAACTATGAAGTGAAAGTAGTTTGTTTTTTTGTACTAACTTTATTGACAATGTCGGCACAAACACACGACATTTAAAGACGTATACAACATTTCATTCTCCAGGGGAACAAAAAACTCAACAGATTCAGTAACGCTTTTTGGTAAATAAATAAAAAGTACAGTGTAAAGCACCAACTTCTGTTCTTCAGTTCCAATAGGCAGTTGCCTCCACGAGGTCATAATAAGTGTTGAATATAATTGTACATGGAAGAATGGTTTAGAACCAGTAATTTGCATTTGTGGATTTGGTATTTGGCAAGTAAAAGTAAACGATTTGTTCTGAAATGTAGTCCTTTCTTATCCTACCTGTAATCAAAAAATCCAAAGATAACCTCCTTAAAACAAAAAGAACATCCGGAATGAGATGAGCCTGAATGAACTCCAACATGTCTGACCATCTGAAATAAATGTGAAACATGTTTCTCTGCAGCTTTACAGAAGAACACTCAGTCTCAATATTTTGTTTTATCTTGTAAGGAATGATTTCGCTGGGTGAAACCAAGGAATCAATTTAGATGACACTTCTCTCACTTTATTGGCTGCAGATATCTAAAGGGTATAACCACAATTTATTCCAAGGAAAACTCTCTTTTTGTTATTATTATGCTGTTCCAATAGGATATTATGTAATGAATAGTAACAATATATTTTTGAAATAAACCACTAATTTGTGTATTATTTATCCGTTGCTCTGTAGAAAAGCATAAACTCCCCACAGCAGTGTCAAATAAATTAGTAGTGTGACTAAGCGGCCACAGGAAATTAATGCCCCCCAGCAGCATCCTGACTCCTGAAAGAATGGCATCAAAAACAATCGCATACTCTTAAACTGACATGGGAATATGCCTGAGTAGCTATACAGTCTCCCACTGATATCAAACAGTTGACCAACAAGTAAAAAAATGATTGTTTTTAAACCAGTTTACCAAAAATATTGACATGTTTTTATAGAGAATGTCATTATTCCAAATAAAATATCTGTGTGGAGAGAAGTTGTGTTTAAATAAGAAAAACCAGGACAAAATCATCTGCAGTCCAGGGCACCAATTTTGGAAAACATATTATTGGAATGAAATTCCATAGTAGTATTCATAATGTTACTACTCACAGACTTTTTAAACAAAATTGATTTTTTGTTTTTCCACACAAATTAAACAACACTGCCACTGCCTCTCTTTTTTTTATTTAAATTTTTTAACAAGAGGTAAAATGTTGTTATAATTATAATTGGGGCGGCTCTGGCTCAGGAGATAGAGCGGGTTGGCCGTTAATCGGAAGGCCGGTTCAGTCCCCATGCCTGGTTGCATGTCGAGCAAGCAGCTCGATGCTGAACCCCGAATTGCCCCTGGCGGCTGTTCCGCCAGTGTATGGATGTGTGTGACTGTTAGTTTCTGTTTGAGCACTTAGGCTCAGTGTATGAATGTGTATGACTGGTGAATGCAGATGAAAAGACTAGAAAGGCGCTATACAAATACGGAGCATTTAAAATGGGTTTAGGGGAGACCGGGTATGGTTGTAACATGGGGAGAGTTGTAACAACACCAATTCCAGCAAATAGAGATAAGGAGTTACCTACCTGCTTCCTCCCTGATCAGGCATGGTGGTAATCAAGTCTGGAAAGAGATGCATTCAGAATATATAGAGAAAAAAATGATTGAGGTAAGAAAGTACATTTTTTGACAAAGACTAGATTTTGTTTTGTATCTATAGTATTGCAGGTAGAATTGTTTGACTTATATTAGATTGAAATGGCAACATGTGATGAATAATTTCAAACCACTATGCTAATACAGCTAGCTAAACATTGGCAGGGTTGGGTTGTAACACTTCTTTAAAAAGTGTTAAAACCATCCATGATAGATAAAACTAAGTCCTTTCTTGATTTTAATATTTTCCAGATTGCCCTATTCAGTCTGGGCCCACCAAACCCGCACTCCAGGGTTACCAGCATTAATTTGTCAGCACTGTGACCAGTATTCCCCATTCACATGTAGTACAAATGCTGGCGTATGTATTGGCACTTGATATTTTCCATACTCGGTCCCCGCCGGTGGAGAGGGTAGAAAAGTGTATGGGCAGCTTGTGAGAAGTCCTGGTGCGGACGAAAAGGTTCCTGTGCGTCAAAGAGTAAAATATAGAAGTGCTGTTATACATACCGATGAGTACCGGCCCACTTCAAGCACTGACTATGACTCTGAATAAGAATTTACACACATTGACACACACACACACACCTCTTTTTTGTTAGACCTAAGGATGTACAGAGATGTTCTTTAATTAAGTACATTTTAGTAGTATTTCTTAAGTTTACTTTTAAGTAAGTTTATTCTATATATAAATTTACATAAACTTATGTACATGTGCATCAGTCAAACTACCTGTTTTCGAAGCTTATCATATGGTGTTGCATCTATTTTTGTTTCTTTTGTGTGATTGTTACCTGCAGCTCTTGGTGTGCAGCAGTCTCTGTGAGCATCTCCCTTTTATTTTCTCATAGCAGTCAGCCTTGGCAGCAGCTGCAGCACTACAGCATGTCAGTCACAGTGAGCCAGTCCAAAACACTGTCTGCAATCTCTACATATTATTATGGTCACATATTTGTTCAATTATCTATGTCCTTTGTTTGTTATGATATATCTTGTCACAGATCACCTCCAGTAGTATCAGCAGCAACAGCAGCAGCAGCAGCAGCAGCAACATCCCCTGCAACCCCTCAACAGCAACTGTTCCCTGTAAGTTATGTCAGCCCACAGTGTTTTAAAGCTAGAACTGGATATTCTTAATAATTTCTTAATAAATATACCTAAAGAAACATCATTTCTTGACTGGCCACTCTCTGCTGCCTCAGAAGAGACACCTTTTGTGCTGTCAGCAGTAGCTGTCCGACAGTCTTTGAAAGGTTAGGGGGCAGTGGTAGACTGGACAAATGGTTGCAATTCACAACCCTTACCACTAGATGCCACTAAATCTTACACACTGAACCTTTAATAGTTAAAATACTGTAAATAATAATTATCTAGTGGTTGCAGGTGGATGAAATAGGGTGAAACGCTTCACCCTTCACGAGGTACAGCAGCCAAACTTCATATTTAAATCTCCCGACACACTGACGAACGGTCAGGATCTAATGCTAATAAACAGTATCTAATAAAAGTGAGTACACCCCTCACATTTTTGTAATTATTTGATTATATCTTTTCATGTGACAACACTGAAGAAATGACACTTTGATACAATGTTAAGTAGTGAGTGTACAGCTTGTATAACAGTGTTAATTTGCTGTCCCCTCAAATTAACACAGCCATTAAAGTCTAAACCGCTGGCAACAAAAGTGAGTACACCCCAAAGTGAAAATGTCCAAATTGGACCAAAAGTGTCAATATTCTGAGTGGCCACCATTATTTTCCAGCACTGCCTTAACCTTCTTGGTAGTGGCGTTTTCTCCCAGAGGCGCTGTTGCTGTCATCTCTTCCCCATTTTACAATCAGTGAAACCAATTGTAGCCAGCCGCTGTCTGGCTTCACGCCAATCAAATCACAGCTTGTGATCAACGTCATTCAGATGAAATGAGGAGAACTGTTAGCAACTTTAGCTGGCGCAGTTATGGAGGGTGGAGATTTAGAGTTTTTACTTATAATAAATAGTTTTACTAAACTACCACTTCAGCAGCAACTTAAGATTAAATCTGACAGAAGACCAATGGCAAAACTGGAGCTGCGCATGGAGAGAAAAAATGGGTTTCGTACGTTCAATTAGGAAAACTATATCCGTACAGAGCGGCTAGCTAGTAGCGCCAAACTTCTATTGACTCTGTTGTGGAGGACGTAAAAGCCAGTGGGAAATTCTATAACTTCGTTATTCACCACTTCGCCATCATGAAAGACAGGAGAATGCCCTTTCTTTTCAAATAGAGTGAGTGAAATGTCACCTCCTTCTCTCTCTGAACTTAACTGCAGTTATGTGTAGGATTTTTGATGTGGTTATATGTTTGTTTTGGTTTGGTTGCCTGGATTTAGCTGCTGAATGAATAGTCAGCTGAAGTAACTTTTTTTTTGTTGTTTTTACTGTGGTTGTGTACACATAGATAATGAGCTCTGTTGGTCTGGCACTCGGTTGTTAGTCTTGAGTGATGTTGTACTAGAACATTTGGTTAAGCATTACATAAGAAGTATGTTGGCCTATTTGAAAAATGCACCACTGCTACTATGCAAATGTAAAACTTCAAACATCTTCTGATTGAGTTTGTGAATGCTTCTTTTATTCTTAACCGTAGCCTATTTGTACTGTGTACTATAAGCAGCAGCTATGTATGCTATTTGGGGTGAGAGTGTGAGTGAGTGAGAAAGAGAGAGAGAGAGCGATTGTACATGTTGGTAAATGCAACTTTCAGCGTGTGTATTGATAACAGATTCTGCGCATCTTTAAAGTATGATTCAATTTTGTATAAAAAGAGCTTCACAGGTTGCCAGTGGAGTCCTCTTCCACTCCTCCATGACAACATCACAGAGTTGGTGGATGTTAGAGACCTTGCGCTCCTCCACCTTCTGTCTGAGGATGCCCCACAGATGCTCAATAGGGTTTAGGTTTAGAGACATGCTTGGCCAGTCCATCACCTTTACCCTCAGCTTCTTAGATACACATGTGACAAAGTCCGGTTTTCAAAATAAGGTTGGAAATAAGATTAATTGGATTATATTCACACAAAGTATAAAACATATTACGTGTCCATTAAAAGTCTCTCCAAATCCTTCGCGAAACACTGAGTATGAAGCACATTTTCATTATTTAATTTATGCAGTGGTAAAAGAATTTTTTTAATGTACTTGTTCGGTGTTTGGCAAATTTTGTAATTATATTTGGTTTCGGCCAAGAATTTTCATTTCGATGCATCACTACTAAGGACATTACTGGAACCATGTCCTGTCTGATGAGACCAAGATAAACTTATTTGGTTCAGATGGTGTCAGACCAGACCATGACACTCCCACGGCCATGCTTGACTGTAGGCAAGACCCTCTTGTCTTTGTTCTCCTCCCCTGGTTGCCGCCACACACGGTTGACACCCACCTGAACCAAATAAGTTTATCTGTGTCTCCAATTTGGACATTTTCACTTAGGGGTGTACTCACTTTTGTTGCCAGCGGTTTAGACACTAATAGCTGTGTGATGTGTTATTTTCAGGGGACAGCAAATGGTAGCAAAGTGTCATTTCTTCGTGTTATAACATGAAAAGATATAATCAAATATTTACAACAATGACATACTGTATATAGTGTGGTGTTCAATATACTGTATGTGCATAGTTAAAATCAATTTTCTGCCACCACACGTAAGTTAACGTAGTTACTGTTCAAGATTTTATCTGATATCAGTCTCTGAAACAGTTTACCCCTAGTTTCCCTCATCTCAAGCTTAACAAATTTAGAGTTTTCACAAAATTTCTTAAACAGGGCCCTGTTGTGACCAGGTAGGCAGACAACAGTCGGAGAACGCACATATTTATTTCAATTTTAAAACACTTTCTTTGCAGAGGCCTGTAGACTAGTACAGTTATAAAATAGAGAAACATTTACCATAATAAGCATACATAATAAATAAATAAATAAAACACACATATAACATCATAGTCATCGTAGTCCAGTGCAGCTTTACTAATTGGGATGAGTACATTGTCAGTCATACAGTGCAAACGTAATTCATGTATAGAAGTTTTATTATGTGTGTATAGTCAAGGGATGATGAAGCTCTCTACCTAACATACAGAAGAGGTCCAATGTCAATAAACATTTATAGATCACCATTTGCTTGGTTATAAATAGTATTTGTTAAATTCATTTTGAAAACCTGTACTGCTAAAACACGTTTGTCCTTTTTTTCTGCTAATACTCACATTTCTACGAGGTTGGAAACTACAGACATGGAATTTAAATATAAAAATGAGTCGACGTGTTTCTCTCTCTCTCTCATAAACACCACTGCACAAATCTGTCCAACACAATGCTCGCAATGTCATAGACCCAGCTTTAGAAAAGTTATTAGAACATCTGGCTCGTGATGTAGCCTACAGAACATTCTCTACTGAGTTATTGCCTGGGGGCTGTTGCTTTATTATTCTAAATAGACATTACATTGTTAGTGTAAAGTTGTGGTTATAGTCCTTGATTTTGATTTACTTTTATTTTATATAGTTCCAAAGCAAAAATCTTTTAAAGTTAGTGTAAACCAGTGAATTATAGGATGGTTTACCCCTGGCGTTGTGGTTAATGGGAACGTTAGCCAGTTAGGCTGTGTTGGAGAACAGTAATTCACTTGAAAGATATTTAATTTGTTAAATGGTTTAATTAGAGTTAGGGGGTGACAAAAATAATCGTGACTAGTCGACTAATCGAATAAATAATTAACAGATTAGTCGACTACGAATATAGTCATTAGTTGCAGCCCTACATTTAGTGAGATGAGAAATGAGTTCTTGTGATATTCTTCTGGCAGCTCAGATGATCCCCAGTGTTTACTTTAATGTCAGATCCTATTTACGCTGGGAAGAGGGTAGTTCATCCAAAAGTTGGCCGCAGTATTTATAGCCTACGCGGGTTTGGTGAGCTCAATTTGGCTGTGAGGGTGACTCCGACAAGAGTTCACGCTGTGACGGAGTGGAAGTGGCAAGCGTCTAGTTTTAGTGAAGGCACTAGCTCTGCCTTGTGGTCAAGAAGACATAATACCACTTGCAATTACTTTGAATAACTTTGTACTAAGTTCAGTGATTAATTTATTACAATAACTTGAAAGATTTCTGTAACTGTGATCCTGTAAAGATTCAACTGTGATCTGTTCAGCAATGAGAATATTTTTCTAACAGGAGGAGACTGTCCCTCCTACAGCGAACACAAGGACACTGAGGCACCATAACAGAACCCAAAGCCAGGATAAAGAGGTTCAGCGAATGTGGTGTTGAAGGTGTGGAGGTGGATCAGTGTGTCAGAGGAGACGCTATAAAAGGACAGAGTGCCAGCAGGAAGTCCACATACACTGCTACTCTGTTAGAGACAGAGGAGGAGATGGATCTTCCTATCTTATTGTGACAGACAGAGTAACCATCATCAGAGCAGAAAAGTGTCCAGGACTGACTGTTCCATCCAAACCTGCAGTCTTTAGTGTTTCCTCTCCTCCTGATTCCTCCGTAACTCACTGATATATCAACTCCTCCACTCCACTCAACCTCCCAGGAACAGCGACCAGTGAGGCCATCTCTACACAGCAGCTGAGGCCAGTAGTCAAATCTGTCTGGATGATCAGGAAATGGCTGAACCTCGTCCACACGTGTCACCGTCCTGTTGTTGTCAGACAGTTGGATCTTTCGGTTTACTGTGTCTGTGTCAAATGTGAGTTCACAGGAATCTGATGGAGAGAACGAGACAACACAGCAGTAGTTATTGATCTATCATCTGTTCAGTGATTGACACATTGATGATGACATTAGAGCTTTGAAATAGTGATGTCATAGTCTGAAGATGGTTGAATGTGTGCTGCTTTGTTCAAGAATCAAATGAAAAACACACTTACACTTCCTCAGACCTGGTGTCAACCATTGGACTCCACCAGGCTCCATCCTGAAAGGAAGAGGGGGATCAGTCCAGAACATCCTCTTTAACCATGAAACATGAATATTACATTCCTCTTATACACATGTACACAATACGTGCATCTGGCCTCCTCCTCCTTGCTCTCCTCCAAACCTATTCATCTGTTCACTCTCCTCATATACTGAGAACAACCGACAGAATATTGGTGTGTTTGAAAGAGGAGGACAACATCTGATAACACATACAAACCTTTTTTTGGATCATCCATTCACCATTATGAGTCCCACTACAAACCTGCCAGATAACCAAGTGACAGAGACTCCAAGACTGGTTCCCCCCCATAACATCACAAGTTTCAGAAAACCTTTTTCTGATAGAAACAGTACCATTTCATCCGTTGGAATTCTTTGTGCAAGTTCATGTTACTATGGTTTGTTGCTGAATTTATTTCTCTAATGTATATTACAGCAGTAAAATTTCTGTCAGGATCACTTCTGTTTCTACTGTACTGCACACGTCCTGTTTGATCACATTGACATTTAAAGCAGAAATAATGAGTTTATGGAAAAATGCTTGGAGATTTAAGTTTACCATAAAGAGCAATGAGAAACAGCGACTCATAGCAGAAGGATTAAACGGTTTGAAATGGATAGGCTTCTCTTGTATAAAATAAGCATTCTAGGCCAATGAAACAATATATTTTTTTATTCTCTGGAGGTGCACAAAAAAACCCTTCTAAGTTAATTTGCAGTGCACACAAAAAGAACCATTATTTAGGATAATAAACAGAGATTTCTGTTTATGTAAAAGAACATCTCAAAAATGTTGTACAGGTTGTTCAGGAATCATATTAATTAATACTTGCATGCAGTGCAATTTATTCTCATAAATAAGGTGAACATGAGGACAAAGTCCATTATAACTGATACTGGTTTTGATACCTCAGTCATGCGAATATGAGTACATATATTGTTATCAGATGTTCGTTTCCTTATGGTATTTGAGCCATATGCTGTGTGCTAGTTTGTGGATGTAATGTGTTGCTTGTAAAAATGGTATGGAAAAATATAACCGGGGTAGGGGAGCAACGGATTGCATGTAACAGCGTTAAATAATGAGGATACTTACCAAAGTCCAGCCCAAAGGGAGTTCCCATCTCCCACAGAAAGCTCTGCTCTGAAAACAGCTGGTTTGTAGTCCAGCCCTTCACTTCCTTTACTTGTGACGTCACAATGAAAACGCGTCATAAAGCTTGCCAAGCGGCTAGCGTGGTCAGGCACGCCCTCAAACCAGGCTAGTCTGATTAGAGGCCCTTTGGCTCAACTCGCCTTTGTTGGTTTTCCATTGTAGAAATGTTGTACCTGCTTCCAGGTACTTTTTTTCATATCACCTCACCGCTAGCAAGGTTCCAAGCGAGCTGAGGCGATACTAAAATGTAACGTGAAAACATGACAGAATGTTGACTGGTCAGAGAGAATACTCACTATTAATAATAATAATAATAATAATAATAATAATAATAATCTCAACAGAAAGTTATCCAGTTTTCAAATGGAATTTCATCAGTAAATCCAATTTTGACAAGTTTTGGAAGTGAGAAATCAGCTGTGTAGATTTCGAATATTGACAGTTTTACAAGAAGTGATGGCAGAACAAAAATGTTTGAATATTGTCGGAGTTGAGGAGCTCTTCAAGTGGCTGCAGGGGAAGCCTGTGCCCACCCACGAGAGAAGCGTGTGAGGCCGGCCAGCCGCCCGCTCACAGAGCCCTCTGCTCCCGCCGTCACAGCCGCTGCATTATTGAAACGTTTTAAGCGTAGATATATTTTAAGAGCTGGTGTGTGTCGCATTGAACGTTACGTCGCGGCAATTGTGTGTGGCATTGCTATGACGACAATCTAAGTCTCTGGGTACTATCAGCAATGGAAAACGGAGCAGGGCCGAGTAGAGTCCAGTCTATCGATTTGCCCTATGGTAGCATTTTTCGGCAAGGCAGCATAGATCGTCAGAACACCGGCAACAGTTCAACGTTTAGTCCTGATGGTAAGATGTGGAACAATGATGTTGTGTGCTTGTGGACTTGAGGGTAACTTATGTGCAACTCCCAACAAAGATTTTGTACAAGTAAGATGCATCACTCTGTAGCTCAAGAGCGGAGCGAACACATAGGGTGAAAAGAGAGAGTGAAAGTGAAAAAAGTTGAAAAAAGTGAAAAAACACTATGCTTCAACAGCTCATAGAGAAATCTTTTCATTGGACGCTAAATGAATGCAACAAAGTCAGAATGAGTCATCAACAACTTAAAATGGTTTTCCAAATGTCATCAAGAGCTACCTACAGAACAATGTTTTTTGTCATTGATGGGTGAGATACTGCCATAGTGGTGATATAGTGCAAAACATATATAAAAACATTTAAATATGGATTTTGGGAATAGGAGATTTTTTTATTCTATGTTTCACTAATAATACACTGAGCAGGCAATGCATCATTAATACTTCTCATTTGCCAATTTGGCATTGAAATAATCCAAAAGTAACTAAAAGTAATCAGATTACTTTACTTTTACTTTGTGGTACTTTGATTATGTTATGGATTATATTTTTAAATAAGTAATTAGTAATTGCACTGGATTACATTTTCTAAATAAACCTCCCCTATTTATGGAGTAAATGTTTTAGTGTACCGCTTATATTGTATAAAACAGGTCATATTAGTGGAGTGTAGCCTAAATAAATGTTTAAACACAAGTGGAATGCATTTGGTTGACTCTTTTTTCAAGGAGAAAAATCTAAAATTATGCACCAGTGTGTCTTACATACAGTATCTCACAAAAGTGAGTACACCCCTCACATTTTTGTAAATATTTGATTATATCTTTTCATGTGACAGCACTGAATAAATGACACTTTTCTACAATGTAAAGTAGTGAGTGTCCAGCTTGTACAACAGTTTAAATTTGCTGTCCCATCAAAATAACACATCACATAGCAGTCCATTGTCATCTGAGGGCATCCAATACCAACGCCTTTGGAAAAAGTGACAAAACGTAGTTATTTGACGCTAAAGGGTGTGATGCGCACCCATTCACACCTGTGACCTTGTAACACTAACAAGTCACAAGACACCGGGGAGGGAAATTGGCTTATTCACTTTTATTGCCAGTGGTTTAAACATTAATGGCTGTGTGATGTTTTATTTTGAGGGGACAGCAAATTTACACTGTTATACAAGTTATACAAGCTCACTACTTTACATTATAGCAAAGTGTATATTCTTCTGTGTTGTCACATGAAAAGATATAATCAAATATTTACAAAATGTGAGGGGTGTACTTTTTTAGCCTCTGTCAGAATTTGCTTTCCTTATCTTTATGCAATCAGTACATATTAATGAGGGGCATTTCCCTGACCATTTATAGGCATAGACTAGGGGTGGGAATCTCTTGGCACCTCATGATTCAATTACAATTCAGAGGGCTGTGATGCGATATTATTATTATAAAAAATGATTATTGATGCATCTTGATGCATAATCTCTGGATAATTAGCATTGAATTTGCACATTAAAATCCAAAAGAAACATCTCCTAACAAGCTTAAAAGGACCAGTTTGCATCCTAATTTACTTCATTAATCTAAGCGCCATGGTCCTTCTTTTCTTTAACAGTTTTCAGACTCCTCTTAAAACTAAAATATAAATTTGATTCAGGATGTACAGTATGTATACAGGACAAAGCTGTACACCAGTTTAGTCAAAGCTTGTAATTGATGTTCTCAACCCTAGACAAGGAGGTAAGTTAGTAATGACATACAGCTGAGCTAATTAATATTACTTCGTTACTGATTTAGGTGACTTTACATAACAGCCAAAAAACGTGTTGTAACTTTACAGGGGGGATGTTAGCTAGTGCCTTCACTTACAAACTACAGACTTATTAAGGGACACACTGTGACCTACACTGCGCGTTTATTGCCAGACTGGAACTAAATGCTAATATTTCTTTGCTAACTTTCACCGTCATGTCCTGCCGCTTGCTCTCTCTCTCATTTGCTCAGCAACACTCTCAGGATACACAGAGAGATCGCCAAGCGTTGAGTTTTACCATGCTCGCAATGTGTGAGTTAAAATCATTACTTGTGCACTGACATTAATGATTGTGTGACATTTTAGTAGGGTGGTTATTCATACCGCAGGTGGTGTGCTGAATACAAGGGAACACTGGTTTCTCGGTTATGTGCACGCCACAGATGGTCCGGGCGTTGCACTTCCACGAGTTTCACCTTTTGCGTTTCGTCAACATCATCAATCAAGTAACATTTTAATATTTAAAAACTAAAATATTTTTGTGCACACGCACTTCCTGTGTTTTGTCCGTACACAACCTTTAGGAGTCCTTTCCTACATACAGTTCTATAAGACCCCTGCTCTATCAGACTGACTGACTGTGGATGCAGTAGGCCACTTCATACCGTAGACTCCAGTGTGTATCATCCAGTCCAGCAGCCAGCAGCTGACTCACACCCGAGTCTCCTGGATCATTGTAGCTCAGGTCCAGCTCTCTCAGATGGGAGGGGTTTGAGCTCAGAGCTGAGGCCAGAGAAGCACAGCCTTTCTCTGTGATCAGACAGCCTGACAGCCTGTAAACACACAAAAGAACACGTGGCAGATCATCTGAGGGTCCTGCAAGTGGCGGTTCTTTACCAATTTTATTGAGGGGGCCAGGCTGGGGCCAGTTGTTTCATCAGAAGGGTACATTCAATCTGGGACAAAAGAGACAAAGACAAAGTTCAAGCTTTTGAAATGTCTTGATAACTATATAAGTACCGGTGCTGGTCATATAATTAGAATATCATCAAAAAGTTTGATTTATTTCAGTTATTCCATTCAAAAAGTTAAACTTGTATAATGTATACATTCATTCCACACAGGCTGATATATTTCAAGTGTTCTTTCCTCTTAATTCTGATGATTATAACTAATGAAAACCCCAAAATCAGTATCTCAGAAAATTTGAATATTGTGAAAAGGTTAAATATTGAAGACACCTGGTGCCACACCTAATCAGCTAATTAACTCAAAACACCTGCAAAGGCCTTTAAATGGTCTCTCAGTCTAGTTCTTTAGGCAATACAATCATGGGGAAGACGGCTGACTTGACAACTGTCCAAAAGGCGACTACTGACACCTTGCACAAGGAGGGAAACACAAAAGGTCATTGCTAAAGAGGCTGGCTGTTCACAGAGCTCTGTGTCCAAGCACATTAATAAGAGGCGAAGGGAAGGAAAAGATGTGGTAGAAAAAGTGTACAAGCAATAGGATAACCGCACCCTGGAGAGGATTGTGAAACAAAACCCATTCAAAAATGTGGGGGAGATTCACAAAGAGTGGACTGCAGCTGGAGTCAGTGCTTCAAGAACCACCACACACAGACGTATGCAAGACATGGGTTTCAGCTGTCGCATTCCTTGTGTCAAGCCACTCTTGAACAAGATACAGCGTCAGAAGCGTCTCGCCTGGGCTAAAGACAAAAAGGACTAGACTGCTGCTGAGTGGTCCAAAGTTTTGTTCTCTGATGAAAGTAAATTTGCATTTCCTTTGGAAATCAAGGTCCCAGAGTCTGGAGGAAGAGAGGAGAGGCACAGGATCCACGTTGCTTGAAGTCCAGTGTAAAGTTTCCACAGTCAGTGATGGTTTGGGGTGCCATGTCATCTGCTGGTGTTGGTCCACTGTGTTTTCTGAGGTCCAAGGTCAACGCAGCCGTCTACCAGGAAGTTTTAGAGCACTTCATGCTTCCTGCTGCTGACCAACTTTATGGAGATGCAGATTTAATTTTCCAACAGGACTTGCCACCTGCACACAGTGCCAAAGCTACCAGTACCTGGTTTAAGGACTATGGTATCCCTGTTTTTAATTGGCCAGCAAACTGGCCTGACCTTAATCCTATAGAAAATCTATGGGGTATTGTGAAGAGGAAGATGCGATACGCCAGACCCAACAATGCAGAAGAGCTGAAGGCCACTATCAGAGCAACCCGGGCTCTCATAACACCTGAGCAGTGCCACAGACTGATGGACTCCATGCCACGCCGCATTGCTGCAGTAATTCAGGCAAAAGGAGCCCCAACTAAGTACTGAGTGCTGTACATGCTCATACTTTTCATGTTTATACTTTTCAGTTGGCCAACATTTCTAAAAATCCTTTTTTGTATTGGTCTTAAGTAATATTCTAATTTTCAGAGATCCTGAATTTGGGATTTTCATTAGTTGTCAGTTAATCATCACAATTAAATTAAATAAACGTTTGAAATATATCAGTCTGTGTGTAATGAATGAATATAATATCCAAGTTTCACTTTTTGAAAGGAATTACTGAAATAAATCAACTTTTTGATGATATTCTAATTATATGACCAGCACCTGTATATGGGTGGCTGTGGCTCAGGAGCAAGAGCGGGTTGCCCGTTAATCGGAAGGTCCTCCAGGCTGCATGTCAAAGTGTCCCTGGGCAAGATACTGCCCAATCCCCGAATTGTATGAATGTGTGTGAATGTTTGTTTCTGTTTGAGCACTTAGGCTCAGTGTATAAATGTGTGTGAATGGTGAGTGGTCGAAAAGACTAGAAAGGCGCTATACAAATATGGAGCATTTACATAATGTAATGTTTTAGTATGTTTCAGTAACTTGTTTCTGTAACAGGATATTTTCAGAAACTTAAAGTTTTATTAAATTACATTATTAATAAAAACCCGTTCCTGTTAACTTTAGCTCAAGTTACAGTACATTCTTTGATGCAACACTTCTTTGTAATGCTTAATGAACAGTATAAGCACTAGTGTACTAGATATTCTCCATATTCACCCCTTTTATTAGTCATGATGTGAAATATACCCAAAACAAAATACTTGATAGTTGGCCATAATCTGTGCATTATGGACAGGGATACATATTTGGTAGACTGCATGTCCGGCCTGGTAGGACCAGTAGGCTACTGTTACTTTTTGTGTATGAAAAGTGCTGTTTAAATGCAATGCATTATTAAATTATGTTGTTGTGTTGTGTTTTGATAATAATTTAGGAGGGGGACTCAGAACAATTCGCAGCAATATCCAAAGGCTTTCCATGCAATGGAAACATGGATTACAAGGACAAACCATTGTCTACAATGCTGTTTTGAGTTTAATGTACATTTCAAGTCAAGTAGATGTAACGTTGAGGTGAGCAATGTGTTAAACTGATTAGAGTGATCCTGATTTTACAGTATCGATGGTGTAGATATTTGTAGGAGCAGCTTCCTAGAAAAAGGTCTGTCTAGCTTCCAAACTGTCTGGATCTAGCTTCCAAACAGTAACATTGATGACTAAGTGATCAACTACGTGGTGAGTTAGAAAATCATCAGACTATCGCGAAATAAATGCTCATTTTGTTTAGACATTCTCAATGCACTGCAGTGAATACTACAAAGTTCAATAATGTTAACATAATGTTAACGTTAGCCTTTAAAAGTATTCTTGTAATCCGTGTGCTAGCTTGCTCCGTCAGTTTTGTATGACATGAAGAACTTATTTGTCCACCAAATTAACCTTGTTTACCATGTGACAACACTGGCATCTAATGAAAAATGGGCAGAAATATGTGGAACCATTGCCATAATGAATCTGTCTAATTTTATGGGCTATATTATGTGAGCAAAATGGTGTTAACATGTACAGTAGCTTTTCAATGTATGTGACAGAAGGTTGTGCCTTGTTTAAAGTCAGCACACAACAAAACTATTTTCCCAACAGGCCTTTGAATGCATCAAAGTAGCCACCAGACAGCGACAACTGGTTGGCTCTCCAGACTAAAACCAGTCCTAGCGCATTCCACCTGCGAATACTGTACGTTTTTGTTTGTTTGTGTAACTTTTTGGTTCATACAAGTTTAGAATAAATCTGTTATATTAAACAAATTATTGACACAATCATACAAAGGTTAGCTGTTTATCCACTCATGTAAATGAGATTTTAATTGACCATTAATCGACTGGCACGAAGACGCTGACCTGAGAGTTTCAAGTTTCCTGTGTGGACTCTTCAGTCCAGCAGACAGCAGCTTCACTCCTGAATCCTGCAAGTTGTTGTTACTCAGGTCCAGCTCTCTCAGACAAGAGGACCGGGAGCTGAGAACTGAGGACAGAGCTTCACAGCTACTCTCCGAGAGGTTACAGCCACTAAGTCTGGAGAGACAATAGTAATTAAGGAATAAGTTGAAGGATAGCATTTAAGTTCGTTTTTAATGATGAATAAATCCCACTTACAGAGCTTTCTTGGATGCTTTGACCACTGGCAGCAGCCTCAGAAGAGCCTCCTCTGAAGAAGAGTATTTCTTCAGGTCAAACACGTCCAGATCTTTTTCTGATGACAGTAAGATGAAGACCAGAGCTGACCACTGAGCAGGAGAGAGTTTATCTGTGGAGAGACTTCCTGAACTCAGGGACTGTTGGATCTTCTCCTCTAGAGAACGATCCTTCAGTTCATTCAGACAGTGGAACAGATTGATGCTTTTCTCTGCAGAGGGAGTCTCTTCAATCTTCTTCTTGATGTACTCAACCGTTACCTGATTGGTCTCCAAGCCACTACCTGTATGTGTCAGCAGGCCTCGTAGGAGAGTCTGATTGGTCTGCAGTGAAAGACCCAGGAGGAAGCGGAGGAACAAGTCCAGGTGTCCATTTGGACTCTGCAAGGCCTGGTCCACTGCACTCTGGTAGAACTGTGTCACTGCAGATTCATCTTTTCTTGTTTCAGACTTCTGGGATGTGGTTTGTTCTTCTGACAGTAGATTGACACCACAGCAGATGAATGTCAAATGGACATGAAGAGCAGCCAGAAACTCCTGAACACTCAGATGGACAAAGCAGAACACCTTGTCCTGGTACAGCCCTCTCTCCTCTTTAAAGATCTGTGTGAACACTCCTGAGTACACTGAGGCTGCTCTGATATCGATGCCACACTCTGTCAGGTCTGATTCATAGAAGATCAGGTTGCCTTTCTGCAGCTGCTCAAAAGCCAGTTTTCCCAGAGACACAATCATCATCCTGTTCTCTGGACTCCAGTGTGGATCTGTCTCAGCTCCTCCATCATACTTAATGTTCTTTACTTTGGACTGAACCACCAGGAAGTGGATGTACATCTCAGTCAGGGTCTTGGGCAGCTCTCCTCCCTCTCTGGTCTTCAACACCTCCTCCAGAACTGTAGCAGTGATCCAGCAGAAGACTGGGATGTGGCACATGATGTGGAGGCTTCGTGATGTCTTGATGTGGGAGATGATTCTCCTGGCCTGCTCCTCATCTCTGAATCTCTTCCTGAAGTACTCCTTCTTCTGTGGGTCAGTGAAACCTCTGATCTCTGTCACCATGTCAACACACCCAGCAGGGATCTGATTAGCTGCTGCAGGTCGTGTGGTTATCCAGAGGCGAGCAGAGGGAAGCAGGTTCCCCCTGATGAGGTTTGTCAGCAGCACATCCACTGAGGTGGACTCTGTAACATCAGTCAGGACCTCATTGTTGTGGAAGTCCAGAGGAAGTCGACACTCATCCAGACCGTCAAAGATGAACAAAACCTGGAACTCTTCAAAGCTGCAGATTCCTGCTTCTTTGGTTTCAGGAAAGAAGTGATGAACAAGTTCCACCAAGCTGTACTTTTTCTCTTTCAGCACATTCAGCTCTCTGAAAGTGAATGGAAATATGAACTGTATGTCCTGGTTGGCTTTGTCTTCAGCCCAGTCCAGAGTGAACTTCTGCGTTAAGACTGTTTTCCCAATACCAGCCACTCCCTTTGTCATCACTGTTCTGATTGGTTCATCTCTTCCAGGTGAGCCTTTAAAGATGTCTTCTTGTGTGATGATTGTTTCTGGTCTGGCTGGTTTCCTGGATGCTGTTTCAATCTGTCTGACCTCATGTTCATCATTGACCTCTGCAGTCCCTCCCTCTGTGATGTAGAGCTCTGTGTAGATCTGGTTCAGAAAGGTTGGGTTTCCTGCTTTAGCAATGCCCTCAAACACACACTGGAACTTCTTCTTCAGGTTGGATTTGAGTTCTTGCTGACAATCTACAACAGAAGGTCCTGGATGAACACAAAACAAATAATATTAGTAAGTGATTTATAAAGTAAAAATTGCAATTTAATTCCCCCCAAAAAACATATAAAAACATTTTTCCGAGACATCAACATCTTCCCGTTTATCCAGCGGGTGAAATCTTTAGAGAAATCCTCTTACTGCTCTGCAGACGCTCAGCCAGCTCCTCCTGCTTCATTCTCCTCAGGAAGTGCTGTGTGATCTTCAGAAATGCCTCTCTGCTGCTCCTCCTCTGTTCTTCCTCCTTACCCTCCAACACCTCCTCATCCTCCTTCTGACTCTCCAAGCATTCTGGGTAATCTGAACTCAGACCCTTCTGGATCTGCTTCAGCTCGTTCTTCACAAAAGTGACAATGTTCTCCTCCAGCAGCTGGAACAGAATATTATATGAAGGACACAGTCAAACTAAAACCAAATGGACAGACTGACAATCCACTTGTTTAAGTGCAGCATGGAGATTATTTTGAACAAAAATATCTAAAAGTAGTTGTTGTACATGTACAGACCATAAATATGGAGTCCAGGTGTGTTTGATGCTGCTGGGCAGACTGACCACTGGGAACCTCTGAGCTCTCCTGGTCGACACTGTGGAGGAATCATGAAGAATTAGTTCAAAATGTCTGCCCACGCAGAGACAAACCCAAGGTAAAGATCATTTGTTCACTAGTCAACCAAGTCGTCCCAACACGCACAACACAAGGGAACAAAGCCACAACAAAGCTCACAACAACCACACAAAGCATGCTATAGCGCTTAATGTATCTTACCAAACTATCAGGCCAAGCCCATAGGCCAAGCCACCAAGTCACAGACACTAACACAAAGATGATTAACAACTTTCCCACTGCCAATAGTTTAGTTCCTCATCTACCAGACCAAAATATACCCAACCAGTTCAAGAGATACAAGATTTTAAAACAATTCAGCTGCACATCACCTCCAGATCAGATAAAGCATTGATTTTACAGTTTCAACCATAGTAATTCTGAGATTACAAACACAAAGACAAAAACAGAAACATGTGCAATGGTGAAGTCATAGCCACGAGACAGCGCAACTTCTCAAGCTCTAATCTTACTACACTACACAAAATTATAAACGCAACACTTCTGTTTTTGCCCCCATTCATCATGAGCTGAACTCAAAGATCTGAGACTTTCTCTATGTTCACAAAAGTCCTATTTCTCTCAAATATTGACCACAAATCTGTCAAAATCTGTGTTGGTGAGCACTTCTCCTTTGCCGAGATAATCCATCCACCTCAGTTAGTTTTAAGTTGGATATCAGTAAAACTACCTTCACTGCGGTGCAAAGCGTCGTCCCCTTGTAAAGTGTTGAATATACGACACAAGATAAATGATGAATGAGCATTACTGTAAACGATAGACGTTACCTTCAAACGATAAATATTGTCCTATCGCACAGCCCTACCTGGGAGGATTCAGTTGACGAGGCGTATGAGCAAAACCTGTACGCTATGCCGACCATACCTCATACACAGAGAAAAGCCGTTTCAGTGTGGCTAGTCAGTGCCAAGCCAGTGGCTTTGGATGAAAAGCCAGGATCACTGTTGGGCCCTGAAGTAGAAGGCCAGAATCACACAGAAGAGGGTGGTTCTGGAATGCCAGAGGTCACCGTTGAGCCCTCCTGAGAAGCCTGGAAAGCCTGAGAAGCCTGGGTTCATCAATGAAACATCAAGGAAGGAAGGTGCCCACTTAAAAACTGCTTTGTGTCAACTGTTCATTACCAATCACATCGTTCCTGCAGTCACCATCAGTAGGAGGACTCTCATATAAGTGTATGCACAAAGTATATTGATATTGGGGCAGATGTTGCCCACTATTCAGAAGGTTGGCGGTTCAATCCCCGGCTCCTCCAGGCTCCATGTTGAAGTGTCTTCTGGCAAGACACTGAACCCCGAATTGCTGGCTTTTCCATCGGTGTATGAATGTTACTTTATGTTTGAGCACTTAGGCTCAGAGTGTGATTGGGTGAATATAGTGTAACAGCCCTTTGAGTGGTTGGAAGACTAGAGAGGCGTTATACAGATACAGAGCATTTACATCTTCAATGGCTTTTCTACAAAATATTAACATGCTGTTTGTCCAGGGGGTCAAATACTTGTTTTTCCTCATCAGATGGTTATCAATTTTTATAAATTCATATGATGTGATTTTCTGGAATTTCCTTTGGGATTCTGTCTTTCACTGTTAGAATGTACATATGATTAAAATTGTAGATTGTTGCATTCTTTGTAAGTGGGCAAACCTGCAAAATCAGCAAGGGGTCAAATACTTTTTTCCCCCCACTGTACATCTTTGAGTTAAAGTGTTGATAAATTTGAATCAGGTGGGTTCTCATTAAAGTCTTGGTGGTACTGCTGATCCCCAAAGAATCAACAGTCTAGTCTGCATTCTGTGCAGCTTTCAGTTTACTGTGTTGGTTCACCAGCTTGTCTGGTTTAGTCCCTCCAGCTTGTATTGACACCAGTAATACTATGGACAGCAATGCAAAGCTCATACAAGTATATTGGATGCTGGTGCAAATTGGTAGTGAGTCACAATAACCTTGTATAAAGTACGTGGAATAAATGTGTTAATAAAGCTCGATAGAAGTAATTTATTTTTTGAGTTTACACCAAACAGGTCCAAGAATGCAGAACTGAACTGCCGTCCATATGCACGTGTCTTTTTGCCCTTACAATAATGTCCTTGCTGACAGATATTTAGGTACTATGTGTGTCTTCTTTCTGGGCCCCTTGCTTATCTCCTTTCCTCCTGACACTTACCTACTAGATTGTCCATATTTACAACCCAAATTCAATCATTCTGACCTCACCAGCAACATTCTCTTTGTCAGTTTCTTATGAGCATCTTCAGATGCTTGTGCCGATAGTTACGTTATTGCATTTGCTTCTGGCATCCCCTTTTTGCGGATCTAAGCATGTTCTTATTTAACCACAGACTCCCTGGCGGCCTGGGAGAGTGAGTTCCCTGGGCTTAACTTCACTACAGGGCCTCCGCCTAGCAATAGCAACCTCTGCAAACTTTGTTTTAAATAGTAAAACAATTTATATGAATCTAGGGGTGGGCGATATTACGATATTTGATTGTGAAAGATTAAAATGTCTCCACGATCTTCCATTTCAGAGAGATTGGTACTATCGTGCTATGGAGGACTGATCCTGACAAATTCAGAAATAAAGAAATAAATATTTAAATTATATAAAGGAGACATAAATGTATATACAGTATATTTTAATTAGCTGCTTTACTAATTCGCCTTTGTAATAATTACCTTATTTATTTATTGTCTGTTATAATCTTCTACTTTATTTATTAATTACTTCTAAATGTATTTATTTATGTGTGTGTTTTAATATTTTTGTCTGTTTTATTCTTCCTTTGTATTTTTTTACCTTATTTATTTTCACCCATGGTATTTATTTCTGCCTGTCCTTTTTACATTTCTCTATGCATTTCTGCCTCATTATGTAAATGAGGAGGGGCTGCGTCTCAAGGGGTGAACTTCTCCCCTATTGGTGGACCAGTCAGACAGGAGAGCTCTAGGCCTACTCTGCCTGCACACATCAACAAGCTTGCTCCTCACACAGTCAGATGGTTTCCTTCAGTGCGCTGAGCTGTTTAGAAGCTCTATTTGAATAAAGTACTACCAGCAACGTCTTCCTTCCCTTTTCATGTCGGCACTCTGACAGACAGTGTTTTCAGTTTCATTTAAATTTCTGAATTTGTCAGGATCAGTCCTCCATATCGTGCTACAGTGCAAAATCTATCAGTTTTAGTTCTGTGGCTAATGCAGCTGCTCTGTCAACATTGCAAGTCAGCTGCCTGCGTCCTCCGCTTAACATTAAAGTTCTCCGTGTCTCCCAGCTGCTCTGCCTCAACTCTCTGGGATTTACGGAGTTTTCTGATGAATAGAAAGTGTTACTTGTTAGACTGGGAGTTACACTACTACTCTACTGGAGGTTTTCAGGCCAGGACAACGTCAGAGAGCTGCGCTCCAGAACCGGAGCTGGAGCCAAGTGAGCAGTTGATGGACAGATACATTTACTTTTTGCTAAACCACTAACTGTATGTGTCTGTATCTGTAGCTAGTTAGCTAGGTTAGCAGTGTTGCTAGCTGTCCTTTATTAGCTGAGTCTGCCCCAGGGCGCAAAAAAACCACCTCAGTGCTGTATTCCCTGTCTTCAAAATTAGCCTCTGTCGGTCTTGGAGGCTGTGTTCAGTCCTGGTCCAGCTATAGTGTTTACTCACTGAGAGCTAAACCATTACGCACAGTCTACATGACAGGGTGGGGGGGTGTAACACACATTCAGCGCTATTGGCTACTGTAGACGCCAATCGATATCTGCAACAAGTCCTTCCCTGTCTTTGTGTTTTTAAATATGCAGAGAACCAAACAGCACATTCTTTCATGGCAAAATGAAATCTTTAAAATGTTATAAGGACAAAACAAATCAGTTCTTTGTTGTTTAAATGAATCATTAGGCAATATTGTATATGATTAATCAAGTAGTGTTATTTTTCTAGTCTTAAAGAGTGGTATTCTGCTCATTTTCAGGTTCAAAATCCTATTTAGGGGTTGTACCAGAACAGGTTTACATGGTTTCATTTTCAAAAAAACTTTTGTTGTACATGTTGCCGACCAGCTTAGCAACATGGACTGGAGCGAGAGTTTCAGAGTGGTGAGTTATTAATCTGTAACAAAAGTATCTTTCATCCATAGAGTTTTAACTGAGCTCTGTCTCTACATCACAGGAACAACTTTATGTCCACTGACTGCCTGGAGGGTAGCTAGTGTTTGGAAGGGAGAGGAGAGCTGTGTGCTGCAGCTCACTGTTTCACAGTCACAGGAAATGCAATGTGTTGGTCAGGGAGACTAGTGTTGACTGCTTTATCATAAATGCATTTACAAAACAAGACGATGGCCATTTTCAACAAAAAGTTGACAGCGGACCAGTTTGAAATATTGCAGCGATATAAGAGTCACAAGCAGACACATTTCTAGAGCTATTATCTGAAAAGCAGCAGGTGGAAACTGCAGGCTACACCAATTCCTTCCACTTTTGCGGTTTCCAGACTCATGCCATTTGCAGCATAGATTCAGATCATTACTGCTTACGTAAATGGAAAACCACAAATTTCTGCCTGGATTATAGTTTAGCTGCCCAAGACTTCTTTTACCTGTAGTATTAAACTGCATTTGCTGTTACCACCAGTTACTACAAGTGTCACATGCACAATAACGTCACAATGCATAATGGCAGAATGTATTTAAAAAATGGTTGATTTATATTTCCTGCCAATCGGAATTGCTCTTGCAGTTAGATTCACAATTACAGATTTTAACCATCACTCCTGAGAGCCTCCTTGGCAAAAGTCTGAAAGCATTTTCTAATTAAGTAGGTTAAGTGTCATTATGGACTTACCATATTTTTAGGAGTCTGTTCACAAAAAATTCTAAATTTGGCCCTCGTGGTGCTTAGAGAATTTCCAGTCATTCATCCACATAACGACTACACAAATGAACAAAATGCTGTTTCTCAAGGCCCATGGTGCTTAATACAAGATTACAATAATCAACTTTTAAGACACAAACATGTAACTACACTAGACGAGACAAAAAAAGGAACAGATATATTAAGGTGGAGTGAAGGTGGTTTGGTTGGAGCATTGTAGAGTGCGTAGTTCAACACATATCTGACTCTCTACTAATAACAGCAGCCTCACAAATAAAAATAGCAACAGCAGAGGTCAGTAATAAGGCTGTAGTAATGTAATAATGCTATGCAATGTTGGCTACATTTATATGAAGTATCATTAAATAGCTGCATTTCATTACTACTATTACTACTTTGGATTGTTACAAATACTTTGCTTTAAAAGTACCAAATAGTCACACAGTAAGGAAAATACATTTTTATCCTGTTCATTGCATTGTAGCCTCATAATCGTAATGAGGTTCCTATTCCAACCCTTGAGGTGATGCATCGTGGTGCATCGAGGAATTTAACTGAATCGAAGCGCTGACCTGATAATCGTACCGGAATCAAGTCGTATCGTGAGACCAGTGAAGATGCACACCCCTAACGCTTATCCTATGTACAGGGCCACGGGGGGCTGGAGCCAATCACAGCTGACATCGGGCGAAAGGCGGGGTCCACCCTGGACAGGCCGCCAGTCCATCACAGTAGCATGTAATATATGTTGTTTAATAAAGAAAACAATACGGATTACTTATAATATGCAAAATATGTTGAATACCAACTCAATATAAAAAGGTAACTTATAGGTACATTTATACTTAATCGTTATCTTAGCTTTTTGTACATAATTACTACGTTATATTGGAAACAGATTTATAACACAATTAGCCTACCATTTTGAAGCCTCGAATTTGTTGAAAACATTTTGTTTATTTGGGGGAGAGGTTGGAGCCAGTGAGGGATACACATTGCTACACCTGACAAGTTGACGTGGTAGTGAATTGTCAATCCCAGGCTTTGCTTTATTATCTGATTTACTCTAAACTGGACCATAATTTACAACATGAACATTTTGCTTATTGAATACTTCAAACTAACGATCAAGAAAATTGAACACTTATTAGCCCGATGCCAGCTGGGATTGGCTCCAGCCCCCCAGCGACCCTGTGCGCAGGATAAGCGGTTGACGATGGATGGATGGATGGATGGATGGATGGATGGATGGATGGATGGATGGATGGATGGATGGATGGATGGATGGATGGAAAGGGTTCAGTGAGGTAATAAATCAATCAAGAACGTCGCTTGGTTCGACCTCTAGCAATTAGAATCTGTTACGTTCCATAAAATCCCTGTTTTATTCTCATGCAGTCATCAGACAACAGTCAGAACATGTGTGTGGAGAAAATAAGTCAAGAGCTGAAGACGGGTTGTACTGGGCAGCGTTTGTGAATAAACACATAGGTTTAATAAAACTTTAATGTGATTAACAGCTGACCTCATTGCAGCAGAGGGTTGTCCTCCTTTAAAATCAATGATACGATCATTTGACCAGTCACTCTTGAAGGACACAAAGCTGGGTTCAGGTCCAGGTCCAGGTCCAGCAGAAGCTGGTCTCCTATAGATCCTATTAGACAGAAAGGAAGTTAACTGTTTAGTCTTCAGCCACAGAAGCTGCAGGAGAATCTCGCAGCTATCAACAAGAAAGGTTAAAACATGAAGCGCAATATCCGTTCATTTTTATATAAAATATTGGACCAGACCAGGACTAAATGTTCTGATCTCTGAGCAGATCTTACTGTTGCTGACAGATAGAAAACTTAACTGTGGCTCCATCAGCAGCAGCTCTGTTGGCCTGTATTCTAACGTTTGCATTTCTAGACTCACCACAAATATCCTGACTGCTGTTTACAGACTTTGGTAGGTGAAGCATTTTAGGACAAAATCCAAAGAGGAAGTTTCAGACTAAAAAGAGCTGAACTTGATTTGTGGATCTCAGACTGCTGAAGTCTCATTTTATCCTCAGCTGAACATAATGTGTTTTTACACAGAACCAGGACTGCGATTTGAGTCCTGGACAGTTAGAGATCCTCATCTCACCTCTGAGCTTTGGTCTGGCTGTCATGTTCCCCACACAGAGTGCTTTTAGAGGGAGGGACTCCCTCCTCTCTGTCCTCACACTGACTCATGCTGCTCAACTCACATCCACTTTCACCTGGAGAGGAAACACAAATCATTCATCTGCACATCAACTCAAATCAAGTTAATGTGCTTACTTATATAGGTGTTGAGAGACGTGTATTTACTGTATTTTTGTGTTGTCTTTGCAAAGCTGCAGAACAGACAATACAGTAAAGCTGCGTTTTGACCAAAGGAACTTTACCCAGGATCTAGGAACCTTCGGAGGAACTCACTGCGTTTCCACCGAAGGGAACAGGGTCTAAATTTACTTCTGGGGTCTTTATTTTACCCACCAAAAAGTCCCTGCTCCGGGGATAGTACTTTCCGAAAGTACCAGTACTTTGGGGGGCTTGCCTTGCAGTGAATTTCTAAATGGGCGAGTAGAGGCTACTGGCTTTAACTGGCTGTTTGTCTGCTACTGCTCCACTTTTCCACTATTGCTTGCAAACCAATAAATCACAATCAACAGTCAGAGAGCCACACGAGTTTGCTGATGTCCGCCGGAGTTGTAGCTACATCGGCATTAAATGTATCGCTGGGAAACAGCAGCCAGCGTGCAGCGGTGTGTTTACAGCGAACAGCCGAGCTGAGTTACGATGTTGTTGTTGTTGAAGTTTTTTCATCAAGTTTTTCCACAGAGCTGAAGTCGGTCTCTTCCTCTCCAAAACAAGCGGAACTGCTGATTACAGCAGGTAATAAAGCTGGTTAAACATCCTCCGACGCTCAGGCGACACTGACGTGATGCTGCAGCTGATCTGCAGCTCTTGTCGGCTGGAAATTTTTTAATAACCTTCCAAACTGTCTATTTTAGTGTTGCTTTCTCTTTGCTGGAGTTCTTTTATGAACTTTATGGTTTTATCCACGTGATTATTAAATGTGTACTGTGGCTCAGGAGTCAGAGCGGGTTACCCGTTAATCGGAAAGTCTGAGGTTCAACCCCCAGGCTGCATGTCCAAAATCCGTAGGCAAGATACTGAACCCAAAATTGCCCCTGGTGGGGCTGTTCCCCCTGTGTGTGAATGTTAGTTTCTGTTTGAGCACTTAGGCTCAGTGTTTGAATGCAGATGTAGTGTAAAAGACTAGAAAGGCGTTATACAAACACGGAGCGTTTACATCTTTATCGCGCGTCTCTTCATTTTACTCCCACACAAAAAAGCTGCTTTAATGGTCGAGCACAGCCTGTACTTCTTCCTTATATTTCAGTCAAATCTGATGTTCATTTTAAATGTTGCTCATGGATCTTGGTTACAAATAATGATGCCGGTGCATCGCTGTGTACAGCCAGGCCTACGTCAGCTGGTTAATTTTCCTAATCTTCACAGGTGGAAACGCACACAACAGTGGGCTGAAGGAACCTTTTAGTTCCTTGAAAAGAGATCCGGGGACTTTTGGTCGAAACGCAGCAGGTTAAGAAGAAATTAACTCTGAGCTCCCCTGTGCTGGTAAACGTCTCCGTATAGAGCAGAATCCAGTGGAACTGGAAACTTGGTGTTAAACTATCAAACAAAGCAACTTACAGTTTCTTCAAAACGCCCAAAGTGTTGATGAAGCAGACTCTCACTCGACGGCAGCAGAGAAAAGGCTTCGACACCGGTGAGCTGTTTCCTGGAGTCAGAGCTGCACCTGTAATGGATGCAGGCAGGTATGAAGGGTTTGCAACTGGGGCAGAATGTCACCATAAGATAACAGGAGGTTTTATTTACTGGTGTGTACTCATCTCAGCTTTGTCAAGACTTGGCGTTGTTTTTGTGCGTGCATGCTGTTTTGTCCAGCCAGAATTAGTACTAGTGTTATATATTAGCCTGTACTAGTAAATACCATTATAATGAATACACGGACATTAGTCCTAATCAAACCTTAACCACAGCGGTGTAATATCAGAAAATGGTTTTATTTCACTTTGCTTAATCCAAATGAGTTAACATAAATGCTTACCTACATTTCATATTTCATTTGCTAGATTAATCATATTTTATAAGGTGGTCACAAGATTGGTTTGTAAAATCTTAAGCTGTCAGATCAATCGAGTAAAAAGTACAATATTTCCTGGAACTCTGAAATGTTTTCTGTTAACAATCTGATAGAGTCACTGACCAGAGCTGCTCAAATTCCCAATAAACAGATTGATTCACCAGCACAAACGGCATGAAACCCACAGAGAATATTATAGCGTTGTAAGCAGTACTTGGAGGAGAATAAATTATTGTCGGGGATGTTTTTTACACGGAGAAGAGAAGCTGCGCCACGACGACCAGAAGTGAAAGTAAAGTTCCAACCAAAATATGAAATCCAACAGAAAGACAGAAATAATTTGAATCCCACTATAACTTACTGCAACCCGCTCACAGCAATAAGCCAACAAGATGAGCAAAGAGGCGTAAAAGTGTGTCGGTAACATCACAGAGAAATGAAGCTGCGCCACGACGACCGGTGTTTCGGTTTAACGAGTGGCCCCGTTAACCGGTGACCGTCTGTGTTCGTCGTAGAAACGACAGCTGTTGGAAACAGGAAGAGAATATGTAGCTGTCCGCTTTGTTCATTACATCGTCAGAAACCGAGTAGGAACCCTCAGTCTGCAAGGTTGCTTCATGTTTCAGGACATGTTCAAAACAGGAAGTGAGCAGATTGTCCTTCCTGTGAACGGCTGAATATCTGCAATAAAATGTATAAACTCAACACATTTTCGTCTTTTGAGTCTGTTTAAGTAAAGATGTTGCACTTACAAGAACTAGTAAGCCCCTTTAAAAAGGTAGAAAACAACTGGTCTGTACAGGATTCGAACTCACCTTTAGGGCGTCATGAAAGTGAAACCCACTAGACCATTGTGACCACATTAATAAGCTGATAGCGAAATACAATATTCCAGTATAATTATATTACCAGACGGCTGTCTGCTAATATCTAGGGTGGATTCAGGTTGAGTGGGACGCTTATGGGTCCTGTACAGGGTTAATTTTGTAAGCCAATCACAACAATTGTTATTGTGTTGTTGTTGAATGTCTATTGGATATGAAACAGAGGTTGTGATTGGTGTGACATCAAAGAAGTGGTCCTGTAGCTCTTTTTCAAATTGCTTGACCCCTGGGACCTCGTGGTAAAACACCGGCAAGTGTAATATATATAAAATTATTAGGGTGATAAATTAAACATTTTAAAGTTGTTGGTAAGAATTATGTATCTGACTACCACATTTATGGTTGGTAATGTATTAAATACACTAGGCTACACAAAAGACCCATGCAAAGAGGAACAGAAAGAGAGAGGGATTAGTGAAAGGGGGACAGGACATACAGAGAGGACGACAATGTAGGAAGGGAAGAAAACTCAACAGGTTGAGGGAAGAGAGAAGGCAGCGGACGTTATATAAAGGACAGGAACCTAAAGTAAGGTTTTCAGCCAAGGCATAAAACACCCTGAAATAGACATTACAGAAGTGAATGAAAGGGCTGCTGAGAGGCATCAGGTAAAGCTTCAAATAGTTTCAGAAACACATTTAATAAGTTACTTACTTATTAATAAACTGAAGACATTTTGCTTTTAGGCTACTCGCAATATTGTTGAATATTTTTAACTAAATTATATCTCTTTGAGTTACTTTGCACTAACACATTATATATGCTGTTAAATGTTAATATAATATTAAAATGCCTAATAATGCGTTATTAAATGTTGTAAAAAGTATTTCTCATGTGTTTAATTTTAACTTTAAATAATATAGTGTCCCAATTTTATCTAACAAAGTGTCCCACTCAACCTGATTGCTTAAAGATGATGTTTAAAGATAAACAATTTGATAATAAAGAAATAAATTGGCTTTGTTTCACCATAGATGTCTTCACAACAACGTATTTAAAAAAAATACATACAATTTTAATACATTCTGATTTAGGTTGTTTAAAAAGTCTTTACCTGACTTCACCCAAAACAAAATACTTGCAGTGACAGTAGGCCACCATCTGTGCATTATAAAGAGGGACGGACCAGCAGGCTGCTGTTATTGCTTTCTGTGTATGAAAAGTTCTGTTTAAATGCATTATTAAATTGCTGGGATAATAATTTACCCTTTAAGGAGGGCGACTCAACGCTGCATTCAGGTTAACATTTGGAGTCCAGTAGATGTAACGTTGAGGCGAGCGACGTGTTACACTGATCTTCATCTTACACTAGATATTTGTAGGAGCAGCTTACTTGAAAAAGGTGACCGTCTGTCTGGATCCAGCTTCCAAACAGTAACACAGACGAACAAGTGATCGACTCAGTCAGACAATCGCCAAATAACTGTTTGCTTTACAAGGGAAACTTTATGTTCGTTTTGTTTAGACATTCTCAATTCAGTGCAGTGAATAATATGCAACATTAGCCGACAGTAGAATAAAAGCATTTATTTTTTTGCTTGCTTTGTGAAATGGATGTAGCCTCTGTAAACTACCTTAACTGTGGTGAACATTACTTTTGGCCTATGCAAGCAGAACTTGAGTAATAGTAACACTAGTTACTTTGCACCACTGTTTACCTCTCCAGGCCTGAGATCCATCACGGGGCAGCTCCGGCGGTGAAGCATCTCCAATTCCTCTATTAAAATGTAAACAATTACATTTAAATGCATGTTCATAGCGTCCCTTGTAGGCCACAAAACCAACTTCTTCACCATGGATTAAAAAGAAGTTTCAGTAAATCTACTGGGGAAAGAATGTAAACTTTTTGTGTTGTAAGCACAAACTTTATTTATACAAATCATCCGTTTATATTCCTTTTTAAAAAAATACAATTTCACAGCAGAGTCTTCTTATGATGTTGTGAAAGCATATATTTTCCACCAGCATGAAAAAGCTGATTATTGTAAAGTTACTGAAGTAAAACAAAGTTTAAGGCATCACACATGCAACAGATTCATTCGACTTTAGAAGTTGTGATTAAAGTTACTGATCTGCTTTCAGAAGTGAGAAGAAACATTCAAGATCACCGGCTCACCGGCCTGAAAAGGGCGATGTAATCATTAAAATAACTTTTCACTTCTCTTGTAGTAAAAGCTGTTTTGTAGAAATAGTTAGCTTTATTAATGGCATCTGTAGATCAACATTTCTCATAATACTCCTGTAATCAAATATCTTTCCACATCTGAATATTTCTGTTCACTCTCGTCATCCATGACAAAGTTATAAAGTGCAGCTTGTTGCTGTTGCTTTCTAGTGCAAATCCTATAAAATCACACACCTTAAATCTTAGTTTTACTAAATGGAGTTTGGTGTGTTGAGCTGCACGCAGCCACGAAACCAAACCAAAGCAAGAAAAGGAGAAACACCTTCAATTTAAAGTGTTTTCTGTTACATCAAAATATAAAATAGGTACAGAGGAACATTTTTTTATAACTTTATGATTAAGTTTTCAATTTTGGTGACTTTAACATAACGTTTAAAGTCTATTAAAGACAGAAGTTTACACGTAGTTACTATAGTTTTATATTCTTATTCAGTCATCTCTGCAGTAAAAATATGAAAACAACTGAATTGTATTTTTGACTCCTTTCTGTTTTGTCTTTGATTAGAAACTCAGCAGCTCCCTCTAGTGGCCAAAAACCAACACTGCAGCTGGCTTCCTGTGACAAAAACACACCTTATATATTATTTCACACACCTGTGCTCACATTTACAATCACACATTTACATCTTCTAACTCTGATCAACAACAAAAACCTGAGATTCACTGTTAAAAGACTGAATTTGATGGATTTAGGAACAAAAGAGAAGCCAAGAAACACTGATCAGCTGATTGATTGATGAGAAAGAATCAATTCGCGGTTGAGCATTTTGTTCAATACGGTCATCAGGAGATCAAACATATATTTTATTTTCTCCAGAAGTCATTCTAACTTTTTATTAATTATTTTATTAATAAATTATCACCAAATTACAAAAATATTAAGTGAAGTATTTTAATTTAAACTTGAAAATGTGCATCAACTAAAACTAAATTTAATGTTTTAAGGCACATTTGAAAACTGATTTTGAATTTATTTGTCTGTAATTTAATTTCAGCAAATCTAAATATTAGAATTAGAATTTTTCTACTTTCAGAATCTGTCCATCAAACATTTGTTTAACATTTGTTGTTTGTTGTTGCAGATGTTGAGACTAAACATTATGAACAGCAGCTCCTGAGTATCTCGTGTTGTCTTGTAGAAAGAGATCAGGATTCAAACCTGCAGCAGATCTCACAGGTCGACGACGCTTTACCATCGGCCTCCTGAACAGAGAAACACAACCACTTACTTTCCTAAAAAGTAGACATTTTGACATATGATACATCTGAGTCTCATAATTCTGAAACAAATATCCTAATTTACTATGAAATTACTATCAAATTTTTTACTGAACATTTCATAACTGTGACATTAAACTAACTGTTTAATTATCCTGATCTGATCAGCTGACAAATAATAAAACCTCTCACTTTGCTGGTTTAGACTTTTATGTTTCCTCTTTCACACATTTCAGCACATTTTTACCTACTCAGACGCCTGACAGTGGATTAAAGAGGATTTAAATGGACTCAATAATAGTTGTAGTAGAACTACAAACACAACAAATAGAACTACAGGACCCAGCAGCTCTGACCGTTAGTGGTGCTTCCTGTGCGGCGCTGCCTGGAAGTATTCCTCCGGCGTGACGGTCTTCACCCCGCCAAAATAATCCAACACCCACACCTGAAACACGGAGGAACATGGAGGTCAACTTCCTGCCCTCTGATTGGCTGATGACAATGAGGACGTTTGGACCAATTGGGAGGTCCGTTTACTGAAAGCAGGCTGGCAGCACTCATAGTAGTAACGACAGCAGTAATAAAGTCATGTTTTATTACAGAGATATATATTATTTTTTCAACAAGTTAGATGGCTGAGCACCATAATCTGACTACCAACAGCGAATCTTGCGTGTTGGTTTGAACGTTCTTGCAGTAAATTACTCAGAGTTTGGCAAAGACAGCACTTAAAGTAAGAATCATTGTTGTAATATTTGTAGTAACAGCAGAAGTTAAAGTACTTGTAGTTCTAGTAGTAGCAGAAGTACCATGGTTGTAGTAGCTGTTATAAGACAGTACTGGCAGTAAAAAATAAATAAATAGTAGTTGCAGTAGTAGAATTTGCAATACTCGAGTCATATGTTACTGCGACAGCACGACACATGTTTTAACAGTGGCACCAGCTGTAACAGTAAGTATAGTCGTGGCGGTACGAATATAAACACACCAGTAGTACTTCATATTTGCAGTAGTGGTACTTGTACCTGTGTGATGTTGAACTTTGCGAAGAACCAGTTGTGGTCAGACGGCCAGTCGATCATCTCCGGGTGTCGACTGAACAGAGCTTTCTTAGCGAACTCCGCCTCCGTCCCGTTCACCTGGGCAACAGGAGGGAGGGTCATGTGACTGCTCAGAGTTTCCCACCTGGCTACACAGGTGTGTGTGCGTGTGTGTGTGTGTGTGTGCGTACCTCCATCACAGATCCAGACAGGATGATGTGAGCGCAGAGAGGACTCTGAGGGTCGAAGCCCTGCTGTCTGCAGTACTCAGTCTGAGCCAGAGACATGGACAGAGACGCCTGAGGGTTCACCTGCACGCAGACGGATTAAACTTTATTTAACCACGAGTGAAACGCACTGACGTTAAAACAGCCTCTTTATCAACAAGGCCAAGACCTTCAGACACACACGAAGAACAAACTGCAGAAAGACTTATGTCTTTTTAAGACTTTTAAGACACTTTATTTTTATTTTAGTTTCATCTCTTGACCTCGGCAATCCAGACGTACTTTTTGTTTGTATGTTTCTGTGGTGCATGAATTCACTCTACAGTAAAGTTAAGTGGCCTTTAGCACCTACATATCAGTACCTACACTTTAATCGACTCCTTTCCTTCCTAATTTTAACTTAAGCAAACACTTTGATTCACTATCTCAACATTTAAACTATTTAATCAGTTTCATTTTAACTTCCTCTCCTTTTTAGTGCCTGAACTTTAGGTGCAGCTTCCAATATTAAAAACCTGAAAGTGTTTGAAATGTCCTCATTTTTTATAAATTTCCACTTTTTCTAGTTTAATGGACCGTTTTGATGCGTGTATGTTGTTCCTCAGATGAAAGTCACTTTGGATAAAAGCGTCTTCCAAATCAATAAATGTAAAATAATCACTGTGAACCTTGAACCCTCTTCTGTAAAATGCAGCTTACAGACATTTTTCACAGACTCAAGACGTATAAAAGCAACTTTCAAGTCATTATTCCAACAGTTTGACATCAACAGACCAATGAAACGTGTCTGCTGTTTATCACGCAGCGTTTTGCTGTCACATGACTTCAGCTCTGACACGTGACTTTAACTCCAAACTGCTGAGTCATTGTGTGAAAGAACCGCTGTGTCATGGTAGAGACTCTGCTGTTGCATAAACCCTAAGCTGCGTGTTTTCATAACTTTTAATAACATGACTTTTTGTCATTTTGCAGAAGTTCACTGAACTAATGAGTGAAACAGGAATAAAACTGACTTAATAATAAAGATTTCTTCACTTGTTATTGGCTCCAAATACACAAAATAATAGCATTTTAAACAAACCAATTTTAAGTTAAATTTTAACATAAAAGCAAAATTATATCATAGAACCCACAGGATATTAAAAAAAACCTTAATGTAACAAAAAACATAAATTCTGTACCGAGTATCAGACACAAATCAAATACCAGCAATATTAAAGGAATATTAAAGTATTTCTGGACAGTTTGTGGTATTTGTTTAACACTGTACAATCTACAAAAAAAACAAAAACACAATAGATTCAGGTTTTCTAAGTTATTATTGAAATAACTACCATTAGATATATTTAAAAGTATTAGAGTTTATTGATAATAGTTGTGAACAGTTTATAGCTACATTATAAAAATAATATTAGAAATATCTGTGTTTTTGGTAAAGTTTATGTCACCAAAAATACTATAAATGTAGTATTGTGTGTTACTTTTTAAAGCATATGACAATTTCATATTGATCAAATATTATAAACACTAGGAGTTTTGCAGAAATTCTATAGATAACTTATTATTTATGATAGTTTTGAACACTAACTACATGAATGTAATAAGAGAAAGGGACTTTTAAAAACTAATGTAAGCCTTTTAGTAAAATCTATGACATTTCCAGTATAGTTTTGAACACTGCAGACTCGTTACAAGCTCCTGAAGGAACATTACAAATGTATCAATGGATTTTTACTAAATTCAGTGATTTTTAAACGTAGTTTTGTACACTGCTGAGTTATTAGGACTCTATTGGAATATACTTAATTAAAGCTAAACTTTACAGATTTCTTCATGGTAGTTATGAAATATGATACTTTAACTATTTTGAACACAACAGGCACTTTCATATTTTACATAACACAGTAAAACCATGAGATTATACTGAATAACACCAACGGCAGCCTCACTAAATGCCCTGATTTCTCAACGTAGTTTTGAACGCTGCAGACACGCACTAGAAGGAGTAGTTAAAATAAGTTTACAGGGAGTCTGCGATACTTTATTTACTTTTAAACACGACAAACAGTAAGATGGACTGCGGGAAGGTTACCTCCAGGTCCTGCACGGAGATCTCCATGCGGGTCAGGTACATGTAGGGCACCCCGGAGCTGGAGCCCTCCGGCCCGTCGCTGACCGAGAAGGCGTTGGAGAACGGCTGCCCCACCACCGGCTTGTGGGTGGAGATGGTGGCCATGGAGGCCCAGTCACACTGGTGCGCGACGAAGCGGGCGACCTGGGCCACCTGGTCGTGAGGCGGGATCCGGAGCCGGCAGGAGGAGGACGGGGAGAGGGAGGCCCAGAGGACGCCGAGGAAGAGGACACACGCAGCCCGCCGAGGAGCGCTCATTGTCGGGTTCAGAGTCTGGAGGACAGTCGGTGCTGAGAGAGGCGGACGGTTTATAAACAACACACGGAGATCCGGTCTGGAGTTTCAAAATAAAACCCGCAGTGCCGGTTTTATCAGGAAGTCCTCACTCAAATATCAAAATAAAAGCGGTAGCGACGATTCCCAGAAACTCGTGTCAAATGGAGGAAATGTTTTAGTTTTTAAAAGTATTTGTTCCCCACTTTACTGAATAAATTCAAACAGGCAGCAGTAAAGTTAATTACAACAGAGCACATAACTGTCACAAATACTGACATAAAAGACTTTTAGCAAGTAAAATAATCAATGATGTGTCTAATAAAAGTAAAAGAAGGGATTATTTAAAACAACATTATGTAGTTTCGATCCTAAAGTAACAGCTATTAAATCCTTTTGGTTCACCTGTAACAGGGAGAATACAGTCAATGGGAGAATACAGTCAATGGGAGAATACAGCGAATAGCATCTCTGTCATTGCAATTTGGAGCGCGTGGCATTTTAAAATTCTTATTTATTTTATTTTACCTTTTTCTTTAAGAAGTTTGTTAAGAACTAATTCTGATTTACAACCACAGCCTGGAAAGAGGAGGACATCCTCTAGCAGGGAGGCACACACAGGAATAAAGGGTATGAAAAATAAAATAAAAGACATACAGTCACGAATTATCTGGATTTCTACATAAAATGTGATCTGATCTTCATCTATAAGCCCTGAAATATTTTACTTTATGTGTGATGAATCTAGAATATATGAAAGTTTAACTTTTTTTTAACTGAAATTTAGGGGGAAATTAACTTTACCACTATATTCTAATGGGATAAATTATTTGGGGAAGGGTAGTTGGATTGTCTCAGTATGGATGTCATGAATTAAAATTAATAGACGCTGAGGGAGAATAAAAGCACCGTGGATTCCTGCTGCTGTAAACCCCCAAAGAAAAGGAAGAAGAGGAATCAGCCGGACCTTTTGTTCACCTCAGACCTTCATCTCCTGTTAGCCGAGAATGCTAAAGGAAGTTAGCTTGGTAGCAGGAAGTAGCCGGAGCCGGAGCTCGGCCTCACAGTCGGAGCAGCTTCCATAGAGACCAAACTGTATTTTTCACGGAGCCCAAATGTCCAAATGTCCAGATAGAGCTGTCTGAATAGACTCTGTGCTGTTCCCTTTATCTGAACATGTTTAACATCTGAATTATCTCCCGGTGTCCTACGAAGCTAATTAATTTAGCGTAGCTTGTCAGCAGGAAGTAGCCGGAGCCGGAGCTCGGCCTCACAGTGTGTATTTTATCAGAGTGAGCTGCGTGTCTGTAACGGAGTGTGTCTGGAGGAAAAGCTGCTGTAAACATGTCTAAAGTCCAAACGCTGAGAGTTTTCGTCCAGCAGCGACTAAGTGCGGCTGCTGAAGAGATATTTGAGCGTTTTCAGAGAATTTTAGCAGAGTACGAGGAGGAACTTTGTGGACAACGCAAACTACTGGACACAAAGCCTGAAGTCCGGTTACACAGAGCAGGTTTGTGCACTTTACTGCTTATTCTCACTTTAAACTGCCTTTACTGCAGTAAAAGTATACAGGAATTTACTGCAGTATGACTAATATTAATTTTATACTGAAAGTACAATTTGATGATAATACATTCCTTTACTGAATGAAAGTTTGAACGCAGAACTTTTACCTGCCGACAGTCATGGGACACTGCAAAAACTGAGCTCTCAAAAACAAGGACAAAAGTAATAAAACGGGGGAAATATTACTTAAAATAAGCAAAGATTATCTGACAACAAAACAAGAACATTTCACTTGCTACTTAAGGATAAAAGAGAAATTCTCTAACATAAAAGCGGCCTGGTAAGACGAAAAATCTTGTCAGACAAAAAGCAAGTATATTTTCCTTCAGTTAAAATAATTAATCTTACTTAGATTTTAGTTTTTGCAGTGCACCCTTTTACTGTGCATTCAGACCAAAGGCAAATTTAATCTTTGCATAGCTTTTCTTGCGTGAGTTTTGTTGCCTTTGCTGAGTGTTCACTGTATTCAGCAGAGTAACTGAGTAATGTAACATTAAATAAAAAGGATAATGTTCATATGATAGTAGCCTATACTATTTTACAACTATTTTGAATATTAAATCCAGTTAGTTAGAAGCAGAACGCGCTCAGGTAGTCCTTCATACTGGTGTCTTTCTCTGTGTGTAGGACTGGGCAATAAAACAATAATTATCGCAACATAAGTTTCCTCCATAACAATATAGCAAATGTTCAATATATTGTCAATAGATGTTTATTTCAATCACAAATGAATTAGAACTTACTCTATTAAGATGTTTATTTTGTTGAGTTTGGTTGTTAGAATATTTAACCTCACAATTAACCATTTGGTTTCTTCAATTTTCATTCATGAGCAAAAATCTTCTTCAAGTCTTTAAACTTGATAGAAATAATGATTAGAAATTTATCCAGATAATTATCGATATCGACTGTTGATGTTAATGAAATGTTTTTATCGCGATAACATTTTTGGCCATATTAAGATGTTTATCTTGTTGAGTTTGGTTGTTTGATTTGATGTATCTACCAAGCTGCCCTAGGTGTATGACGACAGCTTGGTAGATACGTTTTTAATTTTAGTTTTTTCATTTTATAAAACTGCAAATGAGTAAAGTTGCCAGAGCTGATTAATACAGGGTGAGAGATAGGTGTAGGTGTGTGTTTTGAAGGGAAAAGCAATAAGCTGGAGAATTACGAAGACTGAAAATGAGAAATAACCTAGTAGAAATATGTTAATGTGTTCTTTCAAATATTTTCGAATAACGTAGGTTGTACCGAATGCTTATGCTGGTGCTAATAAAGAATGTTGGTGTATGCTGTCAGCAATAGCTCTTGGAGAAGAACAAAATCAAAATAAGCCAAGAAAATTGCAATCTGTACATCTCAATACGAACATGTATTTTTACATTGTGTTGTGTAAAATCAGATTCATAACACACGTACATGTGAAACTGGTTTGCACATTTGTGATTTGATTCCTGTCAATTTGTGGGTCACTTGAAATGTGTTCCACGGGAATCTGTGTAATAAAAAAAAGTCCACAAATATCTTACAATCCACAAACATATACAGTATCTCACAAAAGTGAGTCCACCCCTCACATTGTTGTAAATATTTGATATCTTTTCATGTGACAACACTGAAGAAATCACACATTGTTACAATGTAAAGTAGTGAGTGTACAGCTTGTACAACAGTGTAAATTTGCTGTCCCTTCAAAATAACACATCACAAAGCCGCTGGCAACAAAAGTGAGTACACCCCTAAGGGAAAATGTAAATAAGGAATGCTACAAATTGACCGTAAGCAATCCACAAATGTGCAAAACTTTCATGTGTAGAAATTAATCAACAAGTACAAGTTTTTGCCAATAGCACTGTATTTTTGTAGATATGACTACACAACACAAATGTAAAAATACATGTTTGTGCATAGTAAAATATTTGTGGATCATGGTAAATGTGTTTTTTTTTTGTTTGTTTATTTTTTAAACAAGATGGCGCTGAGTATAGGTGCCTCGTTGTTAGGTGCACTTTGTTTTGTTTTTGTGTGTTAATTCAGTTTTCGGCTGTGATTCCCGGTGCTCTTTCACCAGGGAGGAGCTCATGAACATCAGGGAAGCAACTCCCACGGATTTAATTCACTTTTCTCGCGTCATCCGGGGAATTATTGGACATTTTGGTGAAGGGCTCGCTCACAGTCGTTCGCGCTGTGAAGCGACGCAGGAGAGGGAAAAGAGCCGGGTCGCTCATGCGTGTTCGCCGGTGGGGACTCCGCACGCCGCTACCGCCAATATTTCTCTCCAACGTCCGCTCACTGCGCAACAAACTGGACGAACTTCAGCTTCTGGTGGGGAAAAACAGAGACTTTTATTCATCTGCTGTCCTGTGCTTTACGGAGACCTGACTGTCTGAACTGATACCGGACTCTGCGCTGCAGCTGGCCAACTGTACAGAGCGACCGCGACACAGAATTCTACGGCAAAACAAAAGGTGGAGGTGTTTGTTTTTATATCAACAGTGGCCGGTGTACCGACGTGACGGTGATTCAGCAGCTCTGTTCTCCTGATCTGGAATTTCTTATCATTAAATATAAACCTTTTTACTCCCCCCGTGAGTTAGCTTCATTCACTCTGGTCGGTGTTTACATCTCGCCGCACGCCAACGTTCAGGACGCACAGCACATGCTGGCCGACCGGATTCTGTGTGTGGAGCAGAAAAACCCGGACTCTCTTGTTATTGTTCTCTGTGACTTTAACAGGGGAAATCTCAGCCAAGAACTCCCCAAATACAGACAGTTTATAACGTGTCCAACCAGAGAGGGGAACACTTTGGATCACTGGTACACCACAGTTAGCAGTGCCTATCACGCCGTCACACGTGCTGCACTGGGACACTCTGACCAAGTCACGGTCCATCTAATTCCTGCTTACAGGCAGAAACTAAAGCTCTGTAAACCTGCAGTGAGGACATCAAAGAAGTGGACTAGTGAAGCTGTTGAGGACCTCCAGGCGTATCTGGACTGCACTGACTGGGACGTTTTCAAGAAGGCTACCAACAATCTGGATGAGTTTACAGAGGCTGTGACGTCCTACATGAGCTTCTGTGAGGACACATGTATACCAACACGCACCAGGGTGAGTTATAACAATGACAAACCCTGGTTCACAGCTAAGCTCAGACAGCTGAGGTTGAAAAAGGAGGAGGCACGTAGGAGTGGAGACCGAGCCGGGTGCAGGCCGTCAAAGTACAGGTTTAGCAAGGAGGTGCGAGAAGGAAAACGACTGTACTCAGAGAGACTAAAGAACCAGTTCTCTGCAAACAACACCACTTCTGTCTGGAGGGGGTTCAGACAGATCACAAACTATAAACCCAAAGTCCTCCACTCAATAAACGATTCTCACCTGGCAAACGAGCTGAACCAGTTCTACTGCCGCTTTGACAGTCAATCGGACACCATCCCCCCTGACCCCTCCGCTCAACTTCAGCCT